AAAGAAGCAATAATGCTACTTCCCAAATTCAGCCACAGTAAAGATGTTAGATGGAAACCTCCCAATATTGTTGAACTTAATTGAATTTAATTAGCACAGGACAAAGAAACTCAGATAACAACAAAAATAAAATTAAGTTTCAAGTGGGGCAGAGAAAAATATAAAATTTTCCTGAGCTAGTGGTTCCCGCAATGCTCGATAGATGACCAGCAAAAAATTTTGAGAAAGACAGGGTATACGAAGGTAACAGATAGGATAAAGTCCCAAATAAATAAATTCACCATAAAAAATATAAGAACACAATCTTCAGAAATGATGACCCACACTATATTATGAATTACCATGAGCCAATATGATTGGAGTAATATCTCTTTGTTCTGTTGTTATAAAAAAAATGAAGATTCAAGGTTGAAGTTCCAATCGCACCTTCCAAAACTTAATGGTTTTGTCATTAGTAGACAGAAGAAAGAGGGCACCATTAGCTGCCTGGCACCACCGAATCTTGTTGATTTTCTCCTCAATCTCCAAACTTTTTAGATAATCAAACTGATGGAAAAATATAAGCAAGCAGACATTATAACTCGAGCCTTCAATTGTACTTTCTGATGAGAAGAATGGGCTCAAGGTAGAAAGAGAATAAAATAGATTAAAAATAAATAAGAGAACGGGATTGGAGAGAGATGCCTTTTGAGCAACTTCCAATTTAAAAGAATAGCCCCTGCGGGGATTAGATCAGAGTCCTAAACTTGAAAGAACAACTAATATTAATCATGGATGGGGATCTGTTAGAAACAATTTGGGATTAGCTGAGGCTTGAAATCAGTACCTCTGGTTCATGGCTTTGAAATTCTGTTTTGTAACGGAATTCTGGATGTCGAACTGGATAATCTGTCCTCTCTAAATCTCTCCGATTTCCACCGTGCTGCAATTTCATTTCAGTATCTAAGAATTAAATACAAATGACTAATAAAACATGAACTAAATCTTTTGATGTTGTAAACATCACCTCTTTTGTATCAGTCCTTTCAAATAGCACCACTCTTCCACCACGGTCACCAGTAGCTAGATGATCGCCAGATTTGTCAAACTCAATTGCAGAGATTATATCCACTGCAAATAAGAAAAATTGCATAAGCGTACAAACTCACAGTTCTATTCTGTATCTTCTCAACTTCAATATACAGTACAGAATAATAACCTAGACAGTTTCAGTTAGCTCAAACAACGTTAATACAACCAATATCAGCATTACCATCAAACATTGAGAATTGTAAATATATAGTACAGAACAGTAACCTGACAGTTTCAGTTAGCTCAAAAAACTGAATACATCCAATATCATCATTTCCATCAAACATTGAGAATTGTATTACTCAGGCAATAAACTATCTCCATAAGTCCAACTGTTAGTCACAGTTAGCACTTAACTATCATTCCACAGCCACATTTTGACATGCTCCTACATATTTTCCCTCTTAGTAAGGGAGTATGCTCATCTTCGACCATCCTCAGAGTGCAGTTTACACTTGTTAGACGTACGAAAGTTTCACAGGAATCTAAGTAGTGCAACACAGTTGCTGCAAATTGAACAGCACAAGGGCGGCCGATAGATGCAATAACAGACAGAAATTGTTGATATTTCTTTGACATGTAATATTTGCTTATATATCCATTTTACGCAACATGCAGTTCAGATAGTGGCAAAGGAAACAGAACAAGAAATTGGATTTCAAATATCACCAAGCCTAGTGTTAGCAGTTAGCACATTATGGCCAACAACTGTAAGCTCTAGCAAAATATTGTAATTTTTATGGAGCAGCATATCATCCTGTAACACGTGTTTATGAATGGGAACTACAACACAATTCAGCCAAATTCTATAATAAATATACTGTAATGAATTTTCCAATAGTCCAGCAATGGTAATTTATCTCTGGAAGCCCGGTACCATCTTGCGACACGTTTCCTACATAAATGACCCATAACTACAAAACAAAATAGACAAACCTCTACCTAAACATATCATAATAATCCAATCATCATGCAAGAATAAGTTTTTAGTTAACTGCGCAATATCAACTCCTGCAATGTGGCGACCACGGCTAACACATCCAAACCAAACATTGAATGCAGTTATATAATGACTATTATAATACCTCAATTACAGCATGCAATGTAAGTAAGCCAAACCTCATTTTGACAAAACAAACAAATTGGTGCTTTAGTTCAAGCCATACACACAAACCTTCATATCTCAGTTTCGTGAATGGAGAAGAACATTTTTTTATGAAGAGCAAGCTCAGAAGTCGGGAAGCAATCATACAATTGGAAATCACAGCATAAAAAACTTTTTGGAATACAATCTATAAAAACTTACTCGACGCACTCCAGTCCACTATATAATCCCTCAGTATGTTAACAAAAACACTGACACGCAGATCAAACGCACCTAAATCCCTCCCAATCAATCTCGATTTCGTCTTAATCAAGCCAATAACAACCCAGAAAACGGATCAAAACCACATAAACTCAAACCCTAACCAACAGATCCAAAAACATATAAATCACTTCACCACTCATAAATCAATCATTTTTACCTTCCTGCACTTCCTCTCCGGCCGCCCTCTCGCCGAAGACCTGAGAGAATTTCCACTCCAGCGGCGCAGGTGGGCCCGCCGCAGCTGACGCCAACTCTCCACTGTCGCCACCGCCGTTCATTCTTCACGAACACTCACGAGGAAAAAAGCGGAACCAAAGCAGCAGCAATACGGAATTTATATATCTGAAGAAAAGAACAAAATCGGACAAGAACAAAGTGATTTCAGCTTTTTCCTTTTCCTAATTTTCACTTCGTTCAGATGAACGATTTAGGTTTCAGGATTTGGAAAAAGAATCGGAATGTTGGATTCAGATTCGACCATCTTTTTCTCCAGTGTGGTGTGTGTGTCTTGTGTGTATTACATTACATTACAACATCGATTAGTGCAAAGGAAAAACGATGATTCAGATTTTCTCTCTCCATGTATAGATATATTGATGCGTATGTATATTTGGTGCGCAATTTTATTGACCTTTTATGTTCTTTACCTCTCAATTTTCATTATGTTCTTGCACAAATATGATATCATTATTGTAACTTGTCATTTACATGTGTGAATAAAATTTCAAATGGAAATCTCATTTATTTAGGTTCGACTTTAATAAGGGTGTAAACTGGCTCGAGCTAATACTGCTCGAGCTCGAGCTCGAGCTCATGTTTCTGTTGCTCGAGCTTGAGCCCATAATAAGCTCGACCCAATTAATTACATGAAAAAATATTAAAATTATTATTATTATAGTAATTGCTTGCGAATTTTAAAGATTTTAGTTAACCATAAAAAAATTAACTATTCTCAATAAACAATATTTAATGAACTGAAACAATAATTACAATAATTATTAAATAAATAATTTGAAAAAAAAAGTTTTGTAATAAATAGTGTGAATTTATAATTTGTTGGTAGTAGTTATTATGCAAGAAACTAAATAATAAAATATTTTTACTTGATTAATGCAAAATGTAATGATTTTCTTTCTAAAATTAGCTAAAAATAATAGCTTTTAAAAAATGTTATTTCATTACGTTTTTTACCTGCAATCTATATCTATATATATATAATAAGAATTACTATTTACCAAAAATAGTAATCCAAAAATTTAGGAAAACATTTATTGCATACTATTTTTGGATTTTTTCTTTCCTTTTTTTTAGTAAAAATGAAACAGCCGAATCAACTCTGCCGCCTATATATTAGGAATATAATTCAAATACAAATTGAAATCACCTAAAGAAAAGGAATTAGTTGATTCCTCCATAACACAATCTTATCCCATATCAAAATACGATTATTTTCGGATTTTATTTTATTTTTTTACATAAAATCGAATCAGCCGAATAAAAATGTTAAAAAATTATAACAGCTCTATCGACTTTTGAAATGAATCTTCGAAAATCAATAAAAGTTCACAACATTATATCACAACATTTCATCTGAACTGGGCCGGATGTTTGGGCTCTTTGTCGTACTCATAATATTCTTATTCTTATATTGGGCTATTTATTGGATCCAACAGTTATAATAAAATGGCCAATTAAAATTGTTTTATACTGTTATTTTCGTCCAAATATATTGTCCCAATTTTTTATTTTATGTTTTATAAGTTTTAAAATTGGTATGGGTTTTATAATGAAAAAAAAAAATCAATTTCTAAAGATTATATTTTGGGTCAGATTTTATGCACAAATAATTACAAGTAATCTATATCTATATCTATATCTGTATATATCTATATATAAAGAGAGAACCTATTTACCAAAAATATTAACAACAAAAGTCAACCAAGATTTATTGCATTCTATGATACAGTTTTTGAATTTTCTTTTTAAATTATTCCCAAAAAATCGATCAGCTATATAGCACCCTAAATTCATGGGTTTTGTGGATTTAATTTAGTTAAATTTCGACTGATGGTTACAATTTTGTAAAAGTCAAAATTCTTTCTCATTTTTATTAGAAAAAAAAAAAAAGAAACTGATTACCTTAAGATCGGAAATTTCGAATTAGGCAAGATACTATCACATATATCTTTTTCTAATTGCAACAGATCAATTGTTTAATAAAAAAATCGGATTGCATAGAAATCGGGTTAATTTAAGTAAAATTCGGCATGATAATTTTGTAAAAGTCAAAATTCTCTCATTTTATATTAAAAAAAATTGTTTACATAAAATCGAGAATTTCAAATTAGGAAAAATACTATAACATGTATATTTACCTAATTGCAATATATCATGTCTATTAAAAAATCGGATTGCATAGAAATCAGACTCAATTTCAAAAAGAAAATTAAAATTCAAAAATCTCTTATCATTTGACTACTACTTTCTTTAATTCTGATTTTTTTTTAAATATAAAACAGAGTCAGATAATATTAATTTGAAATTCAAAATGAAATCGGATTGAAACATCCTAAAATTTTGATTTTGTTTAATCCTCTAGAATACAAATTTGCAATTGATTCATACACTTACACAGTTTTTCCCTTCCTTAAATGAAGTAACTCATAATTTTAAAATAATAAGGCTATAGATTATCATGAAAGACGTTCTACAATCTCTATTATATTTGGCTATGCAATCTTTATAAAACCAGTATAAATCATATCATATATATCCTGCTAAATAATTTAATTGATTTAATTAAGCCTATCTAGAAACTTAATATAATTTGTGATGATAGACGATGTACCAAAGGACCAAACAAAAAATTTTGTGTACAAGGATGTGTTTAATAATATATAAGTTTCATTTTGTTTTATTCCAATACATGCGTCTTACCGTTCTTCCAATCATCCAATTCTAAATGCTTACCTTAATAAAACTAGCCCGTGCATCGCACGGATACCGCACTAGTTTTATATATACATATACGCATAAGCGCATTAAGTACTAATAATAAATAATATTACATATGTAAGCTATATCTGCTAGATTTGATGTATTCAATACTCTTTTAGAAATGCGTTTAAACAAAAATTTTATGGAGTCATCCACCAGTTAATGTATTGACATTTGTCCAAATTGCATTTATTACAGGACACGTGTCAATACATTATTGGTGAATAAGTGTGGATGACTCCATAAGTCGAGCCATCCGATCACTCCATAGCAAAACTATGCGTTTAAATGGTTATTCCTCTAGTTATAGTATAATTTTCTTATCATATTTTTCCTTCTAAATGTCAGAAGTACCCCTTGTCCTTTTCTATTTTGGTTAGGGGAATTTGTTTTTATCCAAAAGCCTTAGATGGATTTGGTAGAGAGGTAATTTGTTGTCTTGTAAGGTGGAATTAAAAAGAGTAGTTCGAATGGTGGGCAGGCATTCTGTAAGCAAATTTGGCTGTTTGGGGGAAGGTTTTTTACGCAGTTNTTTTTTTTTTTAAAAAAAAGATTATATTTCACAGATTAACTGATAAAATAGATTAATGATCATAAGTTAATTAATAAGTTATAAAATGTAAAGGCTTTTAGAAGATCAGGTTTTCCATTAATAGAGGATATTTTGTGAGATCATTCTTTTCGAGTCATGAAAGCATCTTGACATTTAGTAGATAGATGATGATAATATTACAGTATCAATTCAAGAGAACTTTTTGCATATAAGTTTTTGAATTAAAAGAAAAAACAAAACTATTATTTATCAATCAATAAAAATTAGAGGTTTTAATAATTATCACCCTAATTCACTATCAACCCTATATTTTGAACCTATCATTTTGATTACCGAACTAGCCATTTAAGAGGTGATTGGATATAAGTTATTTTGGATTTCATTGATTTCTTGATAACCAGAGTTAATTTTAAAAGTTGGTTGGGTTAGTTTGAGTGAAATTTTAAATTTGTACTAAACAAATATTTAAAATATAATTATTGTTTGCACTTTGACGAAATTTTTCTATTTATGTTCGTTTGCATTTGTCGAAATTCGTCATAACACCAATAGTTAATTAATGAAACAGCTAATTAAACAGTTTAAAAACATATCAATAATAAAAATTTCTAGTAAAAATATGGCTCAAGGATTAAAATAAATAAAAATAAATTGTCCTCTCATTTCAACCACCTTATAATTCATCTAAAACTATCCCNCTCGTGCTCGCCACCTCCTTTTATTCCTCACCAACACTTAACATTTTTCCTTTTCCTTTATCTTCATATAATTCTTGACATAATCAAGAAATTAACCTCTAAATCATGGCTCTCAAGAGGGCTTGTTACCTCCTTTGGGCTATATCAATAGCCATCCTAACAATTCTAGGGCCCACAAAGGCCCACATTAAGCCTATCAACATGAACGTGATCGATCGATGTTGGCGCACGAATCCCAGCTGGCGACGAAACCGCCACCAGCTGGCGACCTGCTCGGTCGGATACTCAGGGAAGATGACAAACAACATTGGTCGGGCCGTGACAAATTACAAGGTCACGGACCCGAGTGACGACCCGTTGAACCCGAGGCCCGGGACTTTGAGACACGCGGTGACAAGCGTTAGGGGAAAAGTTTGGGTCACGTTCGCTCGGGACATGAGCATCAAACTCGCTAGGCCCCTTCTCGTTAGTAGCTACACCACGTTGGATGGTAGAGGGGTCGACGTGCACATCGCGCACGGGGCTTGCCTATATCTTCAACGGGTAATTTTGTTTTTTTGTTTTTTTTAAAAAAGAAAAGAGAGAGAGAGAGAGAGAGCTAGAGATTGAAAATTTATGTTACCTTATGAGTTTTCTCTTAATGGAAACCTCCAAAATTATTTACAAATGGATTTTAATGAAGTATTTTCATCATTTATGGTTCATACCGTATCTTAAAATCCTTTTTTGCTTCATGCATGAGTTTCTTCCTTTAGGAAGAGGTACATGCATGCACACATCATGCAACGAGAATAGTACATTTTATTTTATTAAGAACCTTCGGAAAACAAAGAAAGAGCTCATCTTCGTAATTTCGATTTTCGACAAACAACTCAATTTTCTTGGAAGACGCCTAGCCAACTTAAGGACGTACGCTTATTTTTTCCTTTTAATTTTATGATGTTTACTAGCGTCGCAAAAAATTTAACTCAATTTTCTTGGAAGACACCTAACTAATAATAATAATCTACCGATAACGTCAATCGATCAGGCGACCGACGTGATCATCCACGGGCTCCGAATCCACAATTGCGTGGCCCAGGGGCCCGGCCCAGTAATGGGCCCAAACCGGCGGATCGTGAACCTCGGGCCCGTGGATGGGGACGCGATCCGCATGCTGACGTCCACAAGGGTTTGGATCGACCACAACACGTTGTCCGATTGTCAGGATGGGCTTATCGACGTCACGCGGGGGTCCACGGGCATCACGATCTCGAACAACCGATTCAAGCTCCAGAACAAGGTCATGCTATTGGGCCACGACGATGGGTTTAGACGGGACAAGAGCATGCGTGTCACGGTTGCATTCAACCACTTCGGCCCGCATTGCCAACAAAGAATGCCAAGGTACATACATACATAGAAATACAATAATACGCAAAAACTATAATGTTTATCCCGTTTGGGTTAATGGATTATTTTGTAGGATTCGATTCGGATATGCCCATGTTGTAAACAATTTGTACCTCGGATGGGGACAATATGCCCTTGGAGGGAGCATGAACCCTAGCATCAAGAGCCAAGCAAACCTCTTCATTGCACCACAAGGAGACAATAAAGAGGTAGTTAATAAATACTAATCATCTGTAGTCCTTTGCAAACACAAGATCACTTGAGAGGATTAAGTAGCTTAATTACTAAATAATCATCGACTAATACATATGATTTGTGGTGCGCGCAGATCACATGGGATAGCAGTGCAAACGGCAGGTTCAAATCTATAAACGACGTGTTTGAAAACGGGGCCTCGTTTAAGGAGTCGATTGATAAGGGTGTGACGATGAGGCCAAACTACCGACCGGACCAATATTTTGAAGTGGCTGACGGGAGAATGGTTAGGGCCTTGACGAGTTCTGCTGGTGCTTTGAGGTGTCCAAGGACATCAACTTGTTAAGGTTGTAATGAAAAAGAGGTCATTGCTTTCAAAGGCTGCTTATACAGTTGAATTCAGTTGAAAGTTTGAACTATATATACGCGGGCAAATCAATATTCCCGATCGAAAGTTAAAATTTTTCAGACAAGCATTCAATATTCGAGTGTATTCTAGTTTCTCAATCACAAAACATTAGACCTCTGATGACTGAACTTTTACACACATAGTTTGTCGCAAAAGGCCCGACTCAGCATAATAATTTGACCTCTGATGACTGAACGAACAGCATTTGCGAAGTACAGAAAGCATCAATCACAGAACAAAACACTACATGGAAACATCACGAGACTTGTACATGCAAATATAAGCCATGTGCCAGTCACCTGAAAACAAAAATAATTAAGTTTTCTCATTAATGGATATATCTTTCCTTAATGAGGCCTTTATGTTCTCCAACAATTTCATGTTGTGTTTAACTATTATTAAAAAAAAAAAAAAAATGAGGTTAGANAAAAGTGAAAGAGTGGCAGTCTATTTTGGACACTTCACCGTTTTCTTGCTTAACCCACGCGACATAATGCCCCGAATCGGCACTTCTACCCTTGTGAGTTAAGACAGCAACTAAATCATACACCCCTGTCAAGTGCTTCTCTTTCTTTGCAGGAACACCTAAAATAAAAGGATAAAGTCAAGAACACATTAGATTGCTGAAGGGATAAAATCCAAATCTGATCAAATAATAGAGTAATTTTGCAAGTGATCATAAGATTCTCACTGGATTAGACCACAAAAAATAAAAGTTTTAAAATGTCAACCTTCGGTTTGGCTCAATTTAATCAGACTGTAAAATGCTGCAGCAAGACAGTTCTAGTTCGACTTGTATAGACAATTAAGCACTGTGTGACTCTCTCAATGGAAATTCTTACAAGAAGCTAACTAATTATAATTTCTGCTGCAGTGAATTACTTCTTCTAAAAGCATAATTCATACAAACTCTTCTTATGTGTTTCTCTTACAACAACAACAGTAACANACCAAAAAAAAAAAGAAAAAAAAAAAAACACAATAAAGGGCATGGAATTCTTTACTACCACACACAGAAGAATACCAGCCAATATAAGAAGGAACGGTACAAGCACTATTCCTGCAGAAGCATGAAAGTACCTACTATTTCAATTTGCTAACAGAATTTAAGTTTCTATACTGGGTTTGTGATCCATGAAAAACTTATGGTGTGTTTGCTTATAAATTTATCCAATTCATACTCAAAATCTAACTCAACTTTAACCCAACTCCACTCATATAATTTTAACTAACCATTACTTCACATCATCCCTCTCGTACTTTTACATCAAATCAATTTTAATTATTTTTAAATATTATTTTAATATAACCTCAAAAAATCCCACTAACAACTAACCATACCTAACTTCTTCAAAATTAAAACTCATTTTGAGCGGATATACTTGTATACAAGCATGCCCTTAATATCTTGAAGGAAGAATACCTTCTCCAGGTACAGATTTCGAGTTATCTTCACTTCCAATTGCAAGCCCCTGCATGAAACGAAGTAATACAAGCTCAATGTGCATTCCAGTCAAGCGAAACTGAACCATGAAAATAGGTTGTATCTTCTATACTACAGAATGTTTATAATCACTATGATCAGACAAAGTGCCCACCTCAGCATCAGTCATCTTGACATCATTGTCTGTAGAAGTTGAGCCTTTCTCGTTAGGTTTCAGGCCAAGCTTCTTTCCTTCTTCATCTCTCAGGATCTACAAGTAGGTATTTAAAATGAAATTAACCCAACAAGGGAAAATATAGATACAAGTCAATGTATGAAAAAAACATCTTGTAGGTTGAGATTAATCGAAGACGATGCAGAAAAATTCATACTCGTCGAGGGACTTCCAGTCTCTGGCGAAGTTCATCTGAACAAAAATCATACACATCTAACTCTAAAGGATAGTCCACTTTCTGCAAAACAAGTTGAAACACATAATCTGCCGATGTTCATATGAGCTTGAACAAAAATCATACACATCTAACTCTAAAGGATAGTCCACTTTCTGCAAAACAAGTTGAAACACATAATCTGCCGATGATTAATTCCTATGAGCTAACATAAGAAATCAAATGGCATCTTGTTAATGAACTAAGTATTGCACTCATAGCTCAGACCTTCTGGGATCATTTACAATTCAAATAATTCACAATCAATCGAATGTGTTCAGCATATTACTTATGCATTCCCGGTAATATTACTGTTTTTGCACCAATCCATTAATACTGGAATTTGAATTGGAAAATGATGAAAAAGTTTGAATATAAATAGGATTTGTTTCATTCTAAAGAAAAGACTATTGGATGCTTTCAATGCTTCCATGGGAAAAATAAAAGAGGGTAAGTGTTGATGATTCTTCATTTTACTTCTGAAAGCAGAAATCAACAAATATCCAGTGTAAATAATATTGATTTCAGCTATGTTGTATAAACATTGACATTAATGTGAAAAGTAAACAGAAAAAAAAATCTAGTCAAGAAACTCATGTTTTCTTTGTTGAATTAAGGGAATGTTTGTCAAGCATGAGACCCTATTAATACAGGAAGAGGGAGAAATTATATACCAAATTACATAGCACGTCTTATTCTTTGGAATTTTCTTCTTACAACCATTATAAACCATTGTGGTAAATACTCACATGTTTTTCTTGAGAGAGAAAAATGAGCATGTTACCTGCAGAATTTTTGCCTTCTGATTTGTTTCTCGTTTCCAGAAAAAGCGCACAAATTGAATGGTCAAGTACCTGTAATCCAGAGTGCAAGATTAGTCCATTTCTGATGCAAAATCTAAACAGAGGAAAGATAATAAGATTTCTTTGAAGTCTCACCAAGAAAGATATGAGAACATGCACAGTAGCACGCGCAAGGAAAATGGACCAGAAATAAAAAGCAGTTTTAGTATGTCATAATACCTAGGCAAGCCATTTATGCGAGAATCTTTTGAGTAAATAGCACTGCATCCAAGGGCAGGAGAAGACTTCTCCAGTTCTGATTTTAAACCCTGGAAATGTAAAACAACCAGATGGATTTACTCATAGATTCCTATATGTGATTTAACATGGAAGAATAGGGAAATGGACTTGAACAAGCTACAAAAGAAAGCTTTTGCCTGTGGGCTACTCCACATTTCCAAACTGTATCTACAAGATAAATACCAGTTATCAATGAATTAACAATTAAGAACAACCACAACACTAACATCTGAAATTTCCATATTTCATCTAACAAAAGTCAAGTGTCAAATTTATATCGAGAAGCTTCATTTAGATACAAATTCTGCACTAGTGCACTGTCAATTACTAGAGATACCAGTGATCCTCTCAAGCTCACATACGGTCAAACTAATTTCAGCTAAATGTTAGCTGCTCAATTAACAGTTATAGTAGCAGGCATTATATCCCCGATGAGAATACATATTCATGAATATTGTACTAGCAACCATCTGTAATCACTCAAATATCCATTCACATTTGATATCCATGTCATTTGTTTATCACTACATCGTAGTTAGTAAAATGTTTCTAGGATAATGTATTTTATACGAGTGATGAAGAAGTATTTTACCACAAGGTAGAATGTGGTGACTCAAGAAAGGAATTTGCAGTGCACAGCAAGCTCAATTCCATGTTAACTTGGATACCAAGGTAAAGTGACAATTAAGAGAATACAAAATACTATAGCACAATGTTTTAAACCTGGATGATCAGTACATGAACCTTACATGTTTTAAACCTTCATGTAGATGATTCACCTCTTGTGAAATATGGCATTTAAGTGAATATACGCATTCCGTTTCTGTACTTTCTTCACCACTTTCAGCACAATGGACCCTAGCCACAATAGTTAACAAAGACAAGTAGAATTAAAGATGTTTATGGATATATGCACCAGACATACTCCATTTATAACTATAAAGTCTATAATTGGTTGGGGACGCGATATATGCAAGGAGCTTCGAAAATCCAACGACTAGATCTTTTGTCAGTGTTCTAAAAGTCGCTAGGCGCTTGACCAGCGCCTAGCACCTAGAGCGCCTAGGCGGGGCCTAGAAAATATTAAATACCTTATCTTTTTATTTATTTTCACTACCTACAAAATAAAATTATCTCAACTTACAATAAATCCACACACCTAAGTCCAAATAATAATATTAATATATTATAAAAAAAAACATGCTAACAAAATTATGCAATTAGTATTTAAAAAACTAAAAAAAATGAAGAATTGCCGCCAAGCCCGCGGAGGCGCCGCCTGCCCGATTTTTTCAGCCGATTCATGCTAATCGGAGGCGGCCACCTAGGCCGATTTTTAGTACAAAGTTTTTTGTACAAATAATTCAAGCTTAAAGCCCACGAAGGTATGATCCTACCGATTCCTTAAGTGGTAGTCAGTTTCATTAGCCTGTTTTAAATTTGCACCATGTTGATACTTATTGTATATTTCCTCGATTGCTGAGGATTAGCAGTTTTGGCCATCATTGTGCTCTATGATATGAAAACTTAATCACAACCTAGTATTTGAGATCTTAAAATCTGCAAAATTTTTCATGTGACAAATAAGGAAGTCCACCATATTCGTTAAATAGTAGAAGAAGCAGCGACAGACAGATGTATTGTGCTCTGTATAGGCTAAATTTCAAACCATGCTAGGGTTGCTCTTTAGCATATGAATTGCTGTGCTGAACAGTAAATGTTGATAATTTGATTCATAACTCATAATTACAAGCTCCTTTCAAGGTGAAGACATGATTTGTGCTGTTATCATTTTGAATTGTTTCATTTCCTGACAATCCTAATCATGTAACATTAATTATATTCTTCCAGTCAAGATCAAGTAAAAAGCACGGTAATGGGAAGAAAATACAAAAATGAATAAGTTCAAACTGAGTTCTCCAATTAGATAAACACACAAAGACATAACCCAACCAAGACAAAAATTAGCATGTGAAGATCAATCAACAACTTACATATAGCATCAATATAATATATAATATTTATAGCCAAAATAGTAAAATAGAGAATAATAAGAAACTTAGCAAACCTGCTAACTATGTCGATACCAAAAAGCCTCTTCACTGCATCATCTCCTTCGCTGCAAAATGAGCCATTTGGAAAGCATATTCTGGTTATAATATGGCAATGGAAACTTAATTGCAGCTATCCGATAACATGGCGAAAGTAAGAAACAAATATCTGAGTGAGGCAGGACAAATTATGACAAGAATATGAGCAAGATTGGTTCAGCTATGAGAATAACTGTGCTACCTGGGAGATTTCAGGGATAATGAAAGGGTGAATAGGAGTTGCGTCCAGCACTCTTCAGCATCCTAGCAGCAAAAATATTTCAGTATTAGAAAACTCATGGGGAAAAACTTAAAATATGAGCTCAGTTGCAATCTATATACCTGCTGCATGTAAATGTAAATCCCGTTGTGAAGCTGCGCAATTTGAGGGCACTTGCTCCGCAATGCCTAAAAATGAAAACATATGAATCAGTAAAGATACTTTGTGAGTGGAATTTCTGAAAAACGATATTGAATAACCAAAAGGTAAGGTGCTCGAAAAACATTTGATTGGTCAATGCAGCACTTACAGCACTTAAAATTCATGAGAAATGCTATAAGTACATAATGTTGTACATAGGGGTGTACATAACACTTACATTGAGTGGGACCTACCACAAATAAAAAATCAAGTGGACCCCACTCCATGTGAGTGTTATGTACACCTCTATGTACATTTATTATGTACTTATAGCATTTTTCAAAATTCATTTGCTACAACCAGTTTTCTTTCTTTCCAGATAAGAATGTCAAGCGTTCTAAGAAAAGCATTGCTGATTCTTATAGCATGAAAAGGGTAAAGTAACTAGGCGATATTAGTAATTAAGTTTTCAGCTAAGTCTAATTATAATTCCCACCAGAAGTTCCATATCTAACATTCGTCAATCCTCTTTTCCCTTCCCTGCATACAGTTTAAGTGCGTCAACCCTCTTTTCCCTTCCCTATATACAGTTTAAGTACGCAGAAGTCACCCAAACTACAAAGCATTAAAACAGGCACTGGGGAATAATATTTCTCATTTTTGTTGGATACCATACAGACAGCAACAGAATCCTAAAGGTCCAAACACCCTATCGCCAAGAAAATAAAAACAAAAAGAAACACCCCAGCACAATAGTAACCATATAACATGCTGCACTTGCAAACTTCCCAAATTAGAATTAATATCCACTGCGCATGATGAACCAAATAAATAAATAAAAAAAAAAAGCCGCACAACTTTATTGGATAGAGCACCATGACACTTTACGGATGAGCAGACAGTCTTAAATCTGTTAAAAAAATAAACCTCTTTCCCTTAGACCCCAGGCACAGTTAATAGCTTATATTTATATTGTTACTTACATTTATGTTATTCCATTATTCCAACATAGGAGAAAACGTTGGATGGAACCACATCATTAGCCCCTTCAATTCCTTTTATATTTGCAAAAGGAGCTGACCAAGATTAAAGCAGTAAATCTTATTTGGAGAAACTGAAGCAAAAAGTGCATACCATCAAAAATCGCATTGGAGCTACAGGCTTGACATTTTTATCAAGTTCTTTAAATAATTCCCGCATTGCTACAGTCAATGAATGTGAAGATTTATCCACGTAGTTGCTTCTAAATGGAGGACGATACCTATAACAACAACGAAACAAGAAATCTTACTAATGCAAATAAACTCTTCAGGTAAATTATTTCCATTGAAAGGTAAAACTCACTGCAACAAAGCAGATTTCAATTCTGGGACTGAATGCAAACATTGTACTGTGGAGTTCATATAACAAGTGTTCCCCAAATTTACTAAACCAGCAGAATGACCCTGTGATTCATATCCAGACCAATCATTTATTGTGTATGCAAAGCAGGGCGCAGGTCAATAATTTCAAACGCCAAACTGGAAAGTGAGAAAACAACAANAAAAAAAAAAAAAAAACAGAACGTGCAATACAGATGGACTTGTAAATTTTGCCATCAAAGTTATCTTTTATTGAGAAACATGAACATTCGGAACATATTTACCACTGATATGCTGTAGCCTGTAGCAAGGATAATTCGGTCCATAAACTAAAGCAAATTCAATCTTTGATCTAAAATTCTCAAGGAATGCAGACAAATAAAAAAGTTTGCAGAAGAAAAATCATGTATTTCACAAACTGCTACTAATACTTTGGGAAAAGGAAATATTGGTACTCCTGTATACAATTACAGCTAAGACACAACAGCAACTTTCTTCCCATATCCTTCACAAATTTAGCATGGTGGTTTGGCAGAAATCCGCCACGCGATACCCGCAATTTAATAACACTGATGGAATCACCACAAAAGTTTAGCGCAGTCAGAGATTCTAACTCATGTATAATTCTTATAAAGAACTGGCTATGCCCCGTAATGTTCCACGAACTCACATAAACACTAGAACTCACCAGAGAAACCACTTGTTTCTCTTCTGGAATGTCTTCAGCGAAAATGGGTCCCTTTTCTGAGGCCTCCACAATTTCATCTGCCGTTCCCATCATCATTAATTTCTGGCCCTGAAACAAAGAAAGAGAAACATAGCATACCATTATACTAAAAACAAGTTCCATGTAATCTGCAATATAAATTGTCTCATATGATGAAAAAGTTGTATTACCTCCTTCACTCCTACTTTTGACCAATCTGCATCATCCTTTATGGTCATAAAAAATGCATATACTAATTTAGATCAGTTATGAGTCTACGGAAATTGTCAACATTGCCGCAGAAATGAATAGAGCAGATGCTTGAAATATTAGATGATCGCAAAACAATCATGCACACATCAAACATTGTCGTATCTTCTAACTAGGGAATCGTGTACCTTTAGTAAACCACCTTTGACCATAATTTTCTGCCTTTCAAGTGGAACTCCAGTTAAGTCAAAGAGCTGGCACTTGAAAACATATGGGGGTTGGGAAGTGTCTATCTCCACATTGGTAAACAACTCTTTTTGCCACTTAACACTAACTGAGAATTTACCAAACATAGTTAGCATATAGGTTTCATATGATACATCATTTAAACTTCAAGTAAAAATTAATTCGTTTGGATTGAGGTAATAAGGTTCATCTTATTTAAGACATGGTCCATAGTAGTAGCTTCACCTATCTTGCTATTTTGTTCGGTCAGTGGTCTTCACTATCTATACTATCTTTCGATTAAGAAAATTGTTTCGATTGTACTTTGGCACGGAACATTCACCAACGTCCTTACATCTTCTCTCACTGCCCCCATCATCACGATATTGATGACAAACTAACCATCCTAGTCGAGAATAAATTATAATATTTCAATTTTGCCATATCCTCACAGTTACCATGTTTCAACAACATTAAATCACAGGCAGCACTGTCATCTAGATTACTCCAACAGTAGTACAAAATGCCACAAACAGCTGTTCTTCAACTCAAAAAACAATACAAAATCAGCATTCCAAAATCTAGAAACCGACTAATCTCCTATGGCGAAAACACAACAGCGCCTGTAAGTTTAAAATTGAAACCGTGCACCGCTTCTCAATCTGGAAATAATCAGGACACCAGCACTTCACAATCAAAACTAAGGAAAATCAGANACACACAAGCATACGCATACACAGTGGCGACTAAAAATTTAGAGATCCTAAACAAAAGCTACAGATATGTCAGATAAAAGCTTCTATCAATTGATAAGTCGAAGTCTCCCATCAAAAAAACAAAAAAGAAAAGAAAAAGAAAAAAAGAGCTTCTAGCATTTGATAAATCGAAGTCTCTCTGAAGAAAGCTGCTACTATGAATAAATCGAAGTGTCCTGAAATTAACATTACAAATGAGAAATAAGCTAACCTTTCAACATGGTTACGAAGATCTTCGGCCTGGAAAATGATCGGAGCTCAACTGTGTGTCGTGCGTTTTCTCTGCTTGCGCAGGCCAAATGGCGCGGAGTTTGTGTATATATAAGTTCGGGTGAAGGATAATTATTGTTTGTTTAGGGACACGAATATAATTACTGGCGAGTAGTTTCAGGATTTATTTACCTTCGTCTATAATCATTCCTTTTATTTGTTTTCTTTTAGGGCGTGTTATATAAAGATATATCCGCTCAAAATAAATTTTTTTTTGTTAATAAAGGTTAATTTTAAAAAAAATGGTAGGATTAATTGTTAATATTTTGATTTTATATTAAAATAATATTTAAAATAAAATAATTAAAGTTGATTTGATATAAAAGTATTAGAGATATGATAAAAGGGATGGTTAGTTAAAATTATGTGAGTGGTGAACAGTGAATTAAATAATGTGATATGAAATAATGATTAGTTGATGTTATTTAATTATATTGATAATATTAAAGATAGTGGGTTTAGTTAAAGTTTAAATAAATTTTGAGTATGAATTTAGTATATTTACATACAAGCACACTCTTACCTTTTCACTAAAGTACGACTGTTAAAAACCGAACTTCGCAAGCAAACGCTCGTTCGAACACGTTCACGTTCGACAAGAGCTTGTTCATTTGTTAATCGAGTTGCGCTCGAACAAAAGGTACGACTGGGTTGCGAATATTTGGTAATATCCTAAGACATTTATTTCATGTAATTTTATTTTATGTTCATATATTTATATGATATTAAAAATAAAAAATCTAATATCTAAAAATACTTTTATTCTATTATATTAGTTTTGAGTTTGAACGAGTTCGAACAAACAAAATCCGAGTTGATCAGACAACTTTATGAATTGTTACTTAATTTTTTCGAATACAAATTAACTCAAACTTTAACGAGCGACCTCGAAATGTAATTTTTTTGCTGGCGACGATGGTTGTGACAATCTCACAAAACAAAATAGAGCAATGAGAGAGACAAAGTGATTTATGGTGTGGTGTTCAACTTAACCACATTTTCTCACCCTTATATGATGTGTTGTGTGGGACCACACCTTATTCTCCTAATTCTTACATGATATTCGAGCCAGTCTAACTTCGTCCTAGGTCTATATTTCTACCTAACCTGCTCTGGGTTTGGGCCTGTGAAGGATTAACAAGAATTTCGGCCTGGGTCTATATATCTACCCAACCTGCTCTGGGCTTGGGCCTATGAAGGATTCACAATAACTCCTACCTGGGTCTATATCTTTTACCGACTTGCTCTGGGCTTTGGCCTTAAGATTCACAAGTAAGGAGACGTGCTGGAATATCAAAATGGGTTATTCCTTCTATCATCAATTGGTTTTGGGATAGAACCTCACTACGGCGCACCTAGGTTCAACCTCTTATATTACGCTTCACCTTCACCCTCTTATGTTGTTTTTCACCTATGTGGGACCGCACCTTCCCCCAATTATTGCAGGTTACAAACTAACTTCAACTTAACCACAACACCCCTACCACAACGTGCCAAACCACGCTTGGATCCCAACTACTAAGCTCACTATCTGAAAGAAAAGAAAAAAAAAAACTAACACAAACTATCTAATTAAGGAAGGTGCGACGGGATTAATAAGGCTAACAAAATTTAGATGAAAAAATAAACCAAAGAATATTAACATTATCAAACGTAAAACGAACATGAGCTCGAAATGTACAAACTCAACTTGTTTTGATTTGATTGCAGTATTACTACAAAGTGCTATAGGGATTTGATTGTAGTATCTTATGTGACAAATTTTCATCATTTGTCATTTGACTTTAATAGGTTTTAATTTACTTCCAATTTTGAAATATTAAATATATTAGATATCTATTATCATTTTAAAAGTGTTGATATAATTTTATATTATAGACGTGGTTTACAAAGCATAATTTTTTTCTCACTCTTTTTTTTCCTCGTCTTTATTTTATAATTATAAAAAAAGTTACTAACTTAAACTCATGGTACATTTAAAAGTTAATAATTTTTTTAATTTGTTATCAAAATTTTATATATTATATTAAATTAATCATATTTCGATGAACTTTAATTTGTCATTTATAATAACATACATACAAAAATATATAAATAAATATATTTATTTTATAATAAAAAATAAATTACTATTAACATAAATTGAAAATTTTAAAATTATTTAATTTAACTAAAAAATAGTTATATGATGTAAATTAGAAAAAACTATTATAATATGAGATGATAAATCGTATAAATAAGATGTGACATTTTAAATATAAATAATAATATAGTTTTAAAAAATTATTTGAAAGCTAGATATATATATTTTTAATTTTATAACAATATTCCGTGTAATAGACGTATCTATTACTATATAATACGGAGAAGAAAAATTATTTGAACAATCCGAAAAAAATCATTTCATTTTCCCCCTTAAAACCTGTTTTTCCCCGTAATATTGTATTTGAAATTTTTTCGAATTCCGCTTAAATCTGTTTTTCGGAACTTTGAATTCGGAAACTGTTTTTTGGATGGTATTCCTTTCATTTTGGATGAGATTTCTTCCAAAATTGAATGAGTCAATATTTATCTAAAATATTTTTATTTGGTTCACGTTTATCCCGCCTTAAACATTGTTTTTCGAATTTTAAAAAAATTGAATGAGTCAATATATATCTAACCAATTTTTTTTACTCTTTGTAACACATGTTTTCCTTTATTCTTTTGATTTAAATCCCTACAAGTCCGTTAGTTTAATTGGTATTCTTTCAAAATATTTTTTTTTCTATATTTCTGTATGAGTAATCTAATAATCTTTTGAGTTTGACAGCAGATATTCCTAACACCATTTTTGGAAGAATAATCTATTACTATATAATAGAGAGAAGAAAAAATGCTTGAAAAATTATTTTATTTTACCGCTCAAATCATTTTTTCCCCCTAATATTTTGTTTGAAATTTTTTCGAAAGTTTGAATTTTTTCATTCCGAAACTCTGTAATTTGGATGAGTTCAATATGTTTTGGATGAGATTCCTTCCATATCGGATAAATTTAAGATTCTTTTCATTTTGGAAAACAGATTTTTGTTTTAGCAATATATTTGACTTCCTTTTTTTTTTGGAGGTAATCTATCCGTTAAAACAGGAAATGAATTTGTAATTTATTTTGTCAAATTAAGTTTTTGAGTTAATCCTTCTATAACATGTTTGTGCGGACGGAATGCGGTAGATACAACCTCAAATAATACAACCTCAAATGAATTAAATCATACCGTGCCTAAGTTCACTTTAATGTATAAATCATTAGAATAATAAAAAATAAAAATTTTATAGATGACAAATAAATGTTTATCATAGCTTTTATTTTAAAAATAAATTTGAATTATTATACCTTTTACTTTGTATGAAATTCAAAATTACATGTTTTAATATATTATAAATATTTATTATTTATTTTTTCCTTATGTGATATAATCGAAATTCGGTATTAAATTTTTATATTCAAACATTTTTAAAAAAATTTTAAACAAAATTTTTTTGGGTAAATTTCATTTTATCTTGATTTTCATATAATCACATTCCTAACAAATTAATTAATATTATATTTTTTTTATCTACATTATCTAACGATTTTTTATGATACAATTAATATAATATCTTAACTAATTAATTATTTATCTAACTGGATTTATCTCTCTAACAAACTTCTAATTTTTTTGAAATTAAAATGGTATGATTATTCTTATGGAGATAATTGACTTTTAAAAAATATAAAATCAAAACCGTAAGGTTTAATAATATTACTTAAAAAAATATTGTATAAAGAGAAGTGTTTAATAATATATATTTTTCATTGTTTGTATTTATTTTATTTTCATAATGTGAAAAATATAAGTAATTATATTTAAAATAAAGTTTAAAAAAGGTTTAAAATATGAACTCCTACGTGCATCGCACGGGATATACACTAGTTGTACTAGTCATGTAGTAATTATTATGATTATTAACCTTAATACTGTAATTAACATAATCCAATTAAGAAACTGCAAAAACCCAATTTCCAACTTTCGTTTGTCGGCTCTCCACCGAGTCCATCGTCTTTCTCTGGAGACTGGCAACAAATTTCACTCCTTCAATTTGGTTCCAAGAAAATCTACAGGGAAAATTACGAAGGACCTCGGCCCTTACCCGCAATCAATGTTCAGTGGTCCCGGGAAGATGGGCCGTGGCGGCGGGGGAGTCGTCCGGAAGAGGAACATTCGCGCGCCGCCAATCAGCCGCGCCAGCCGTCCGTCCATGGGCGGCGTCCCTCGGGGACGCAGCGGGGCGCCACCGGCGGCAGCGTCGTCCCCGTCCACCTCGTCGATGCAGGTGGACGAGAGTTTCAGACTTGTCAGGGAGAATCCTTTGAAATTCGGGATGGCGATAAAGCTGGCGCCTGACCTGGTGGAGGAGATCAAGCGCGTGGAGGCGGAGGGTGGCGGTGCGCGCATCAAGTTCGACGTGAATGCGAATAATCCCAGTGGGAATGTGAGTATTGAATTATGACTCTGAGTATTGGATTGACTCTTTGAATTTTGGTGGTGGTTTATTGTGTTGATGAAGTGGGATTGGGAATAACTGAGTTTTTGAATTTCGTTCGGAAGTTCAAGCTCTTTTTTATGATCTTGATTGTCTAATATTGGACTTTTGCCTTCTGCTGCTCACTGGCAGCCTTGCATTTTAGCCTGTAACTAGGATATAGCTGAAAATTTTGAAGTATGGGATGGTTCTGCATGGTTTTTTGGCACTCAAAGTACTCTTCTTCTGAAATTTCTGTATTAAGGTGGCAGAGATGTCTCTTGACTTCAGCAAATATCAGTCCATACTCCACAGTACATTTTCACATCATTTTTATCCAATGCATCACAAGATGTTTGGTCATCGTTACCGTCTTTCCTTGCCCGTCGTTTTCAAACTCAGAGAAGTAACCATGTTTCTCTCATTTTGAAAAGGTTTCAATTCCTCTATAATGCCTTTGTCCTTGGGGCTTGCATGTTAGTGAGTCATACACAAGTTATGTACATGATAGCTGGTAGGGTCTTGAAACTGTGTGCTTTCATTTTACTTTTTTCAGGTTGATGTGTCACTTTAGAAACTTGTTATCTATATTATATACTCACATTCTATTATGTCCCTGTTTACCAGGTTATTCATGTTGGAGATAAAATCTTCAGATTCACATGGTCTAGGGAACCAGGAGATTTGTGTGACATTTATGAAGAACGTCAAAATGGTGAAGATGGAAATGGGTTTCTTGTTGAATCAGGAGGCACTTGGCGTAAGCTGAATGTAGAGCGAGAATTAGATGAATCGACTAAAAATCATGTTAAATGGCGATCAGAAGAAGCTGAGCGCAAGCATAAATCACGAAAGTACATTTTTCTTCCTGAGAATTTCGTGCTCTATAATTTGTTGCTGCTGTTTCGTCTGCCTTGTTTATAGCAATTAAATCATGGGACTTAAAAAGGAGTTTCAATAGAAACATGTATTTATGCGAGATTAAACTTCATTGACAGTATAAGAACAATGGGATCTTTGTAGGATAATAATTAAGTTGTACTTATTGGGGATTATTATTTTTATAATATTCGTGTTCTAATTTGAAAATGATATTTGGAGGTCTACATAATGATTTTGCTCTGTTTTGTTTTTTCCTGGGTTTTTATCCGTCTTTCAATCTTGACTCTTCATTTATCTTAATTTTTTTGCCTGGTTTTTATCATTTCTGTGTCCGTGAAGCTGTTGGGTTTGTGATGAATATGAGAGAAAGGCAACTTTTGTATTTTGTAATATTGTTGACATGTGTGTTTCTTTTATTAGTGTTGATCTAGTTTTTCCACTGAACCATGCTCAACTGTGACAGTTGACCTTCTAAACCTCGATTTCACCATTCACCCCTTTCAGATATTTATCTTCAAAGACAAAAAAAAATATTTTTGTCTTTAGGAGTTTGACAAGCCTGAAAGGTTCTGCCAGGATATTATTACCCCTATTTGATTGACCTGATAGTAAAAGATCCAAAAAGTAAGAAGTAGTCAATATCTCTTGAATATGCCCGGCATCCACTCTTATGATTTTTTGTATGCAATTCCATTGTAATCTCCTAGAGTAGGAAAATTATAGCTGTGCTTCCTTTTGAAGTGTTCAACTTACATAACCTGTATTGGGGGTTTGATTGATGAAGTCCGTGATTTGTTCTGGTGATTGTATTAACTAGACACTGTTTTAGGCTCATTGATGGGCAAATTTCTTGTATTTTAATTAATTCCCTTCTTTTACCTGATACAGAGCTATTGTATTAGACCATCAAAACCCCTCTATGAAGAATCAAGTAAAGGCTCTTGCTGCTGCCGAGTGTAAGTTCTTTCATATTTATGTGATAATTCTCTCAGTAGCTATCTAGTGAGCAGTTTCCCACATTGATTCACGAGATATACGTGACTTGGATGTTTGTTTTTATATAAACTAAAGATGAAAGTGTAATTGTAATGCGTAAAATTTTCACCCAGAATACGCCGGCAATTTTTAATATCACTTCTGCCTCATTATAAAATGTGAAATTATGTATAGAACTCTAGAATTTTTGGGATTCTTTTTATCTTTTTGTATTTTATTTGAGCATGCACGTTAAATTGAAAAAGTTTCAGTTTCACACCTGCAAGAAATAAAATAGCAAAGGAAGAAAGGCACGAAGAAAAAGAAAAACTCAGGATTCTCTCTCTCTCCCTCTCCCTCTCCCTCTGTGTGTGTGTGAGTTTCATAATAGTGGATTGCTAAATTTGAGGGTACTAAATTTGAAGTTATAGTAAAATATGACACTTGTATTTTCATCTAATCCATTGTGCTGATGAAAAATTCTACATGTACATAATCTTTGGCCAAGAGGTTGACATAATATGTTGTGTAAGTATAGTTATTGTTGATTTTAAAGATAGTGTGATGTGTAAACCAAACAGGATCCTTGCACTTGCATTATGTCAAACTCTGTCATCCATTACGTATTTATAGCATCACTCTGATTTGATTTTGCGAGTGAATAATGATGAAAAGATTTCTCAAAATGAAAGAGGGTGTGATTAGACGTGGGTGGGAAAATAATGATTATGATGGATGTGAATGCGATTCTTCTAGAGTTGTTGATTATTTATGAGTTTGCTTTTGGAAATAATAGTGTAACACATTGGCTTTATATTGGATGAAAATTCAAAAATCAAACCAAATATATGACAATACGAATCTCGTTTTATAACTTACCAGGATTAAGTCAAATTTATAGCAAATTATTTAAGGAATTTACTGGAACTCTTTATATGTATAGAATGCGGACGAGGAATATATAGTATACGTAGTCTGGTATTTAGGAGTGCGAGAGAAAGAGACAAATGAGTTAGTTCATTTGTGAGATGAAAATTATCTGCTCTTCATTATTGTTGTTTTCTGACAAGCAATTTTCACTTAAAGGAAAATTTTAAAAATCTATTTTGCAGAAAAATCAAAGCTTACGATATTCAATGTTCATCCTAACATCTATGACACAAATGGATACATAAAATGGGAGATGGAAGAACATTCTGCTCCTTACTAATGCCATCTTGATTATATGTGGAAGAGCCGTATGGCTGATTCCTAGCAACTTTACTGATTAAATCCTTTGCCATTCTATTACAGCTAATCCATGGAGAAATTCTAAGAACCGGAAAGAACCTCCTTTCAAAAAGGCGAAACTGAACCCACCTTCAGGTAATTGGGAGAAAATAATTTGATGATCTCATCCACTTGTTTCTTAATTGGTCCGGCTTTTCTATTTGTACTTAATTACTGGTAAGTAAAATTGAATTGTATTTATTGTAAACCAATTGATAGCAGATATAAGTATGTCTTTGGATTTTTTTTTCTAATTATTATTCTTTTGCATTTCAGGCGGGCCTCCTAAATCTACCAATAAATCTACTGTGCTGAAAACAACTGTTTCCAAGGGTAAAATCTCATCTGGCTCACCCGTGTCTTCCCAACCAGAACAACTCGGAGGGCCAGCATTCCCAGCTGGAGGTGGCAATCATGTGAATGGGCGTGTGGACATTACAGATGCCGCACTCACTCAAAATACGAATATTATTGCCAGCTCAGGGAAAGAAATGTCCTGCAAGTGGCCACATAGTATTATCCGAGGCAAATCTAAACACAGTAGGAACACGGAGGCCAAACCTGCTGATTTGAAAAGTTTGGTGATCTCACTACTTCAGGAGAACCAACCTAAGGGCATGAGCCTTAAGGTAATCTGGCGAGTTTGAGCTATTTTACGTTTGTATAGCGTTACTTTTTATTATTACTATTTTGGGTTATTTTTTTACCTCAATTTCTTTGAAGGAGAATGCATTTTGACTCACTAGTCTCATAATTAGATCTTTTTCCTGTGGTTTCCTTTTAGGCCTTGGAGAAAGCCATCGGAGAGGTTATGCCCAACTCAGCCCTTCAAATCGACCCTATCTTGAAAAAAGTATGTGGTGAATATTTTTAGTGAAGGTCGTTGGCAACTGTGATTGTTTCTTATACTTACCTAACTATTACTGTCAGGTTGCAGTTTTTCAATCTCCTGGGAGATATTTATTGAAGCAAGGACCAGAGAAGGAAAGCGTGAAGAAACCACCTTCTGAAAGTGGAAGGTTTGTTTATCTCATCAAGGGCTGTCTCTGTCTGTTCAATGATTGTGCTTCTCTCCTTACATGTGTTGTGTGTGCGTTTACATTTTCTTTTTCTTTTGCCCCCTCTTTGCTTGTTCTAAAAGCTTTATGTATGTGCTGTTAAGTGTGCATAGGCGTTTATTGTAGATGGAAAATAGCTGGTTTAGCAGAAGGTCCTTTCCAGTGGTCTATTTCCGGTAACACCAGACAATTCAGTGTGGAATTAATTATATTTTAGACAATTCAGCATTTTGCAAAAACAAGTTAATATTAAAGGGACATGTTAAAGATAAAGATCTTATTTTAGCTTATGCGATTTCACAACTCACATATCCATAGCTTATAAGCTTTTAGAGTATTGTTCTAGAAGCCTTATATGTTTTGTTTTTTTCCCTCTAAAACGAGCTGCATGGTTTCCATATAACCTTCAAAACACCAAATCCACCTATTTTGAAGATCTTCAAACTCCTCGCATTTAACATTTACCTTTATTCCTTCAGTTTCCCAGCCACCTATCGCCACCAACTAGACCCCATGGCAACATCTGCCAACAACGAGCAAGAAAATGGAAAACTCAACTCTACTTCTCCTCCACTCACCATAGATAAGCCTACAGATAAAACCGACACACTTCCGAGACAACAGCTGAGTGACGGCAAGGCTGCCGCCGCCGAAAACAGCTCAAGCGACAGCTCGAGCGGCAGCTCAAGCGACAGCGATAGCAGTGACAGCGGTAGCTCGAGTCGGAGCCACAGCAGCCAGCTGGCGTCCGACGAGGACATCAACATCATGAGCGATGATGAGCTGGCGAGGCCTGAGCCATATGGTCCCCACCGAGATGCTAATTGTGCATCTCCCAAGAGGTTTGTGAGCGGGAAGAACTCGAGCCATCCGGTTGCAGGGACTATAAGCTCTCTTTTTGGGGATAGTCCCAATGAGAACTCGTCCCCTGACAGGCCCTCACAGAGTCCCTCACAGAGGCCCGTCGTCGACATTGTGGCCCAAAGCTCGGAAGGTAATAAAAGTAGATTTGCTGATGCTGGGCCGGGCCAGGCCCGAAGTTCGGAAGGTGATAAAAGTAGATTTGCTGATGCGGGGCCGGGCCAGGCCCAAAGCTTGGAAGGTGATAAAAGTAGATTTGCTGATGCGGGGCCGGGCCAGGCCCAAAGCTCGGAAGGTCATGGTGATGTCACTAGAAGATTGCCCGTCAGTGCAACAGAGCAGCAGCAGAAGAAGCATGACCCTGTTCGAGGAGTTGGGCCTGTTCAAACAAAAGTAAGCAAGAAACAGAAATCAAATGTGAATGGCAATTTGAATGGCAGGCAAGCAGATGCTTCTTTGAGAGGTATTAATGACAGTGGTCGAAAGATGAAAGAATCTTCTCGAGATGTGGACATTTTGTATGCCAAATACGATAAGAAAGAGCCTGAGCTGAACGGTCCAATAAAGGATGTTTCTCAGTAAGTGTGAACATTGTTTTTCTGAAAACTAATGATGGTTAATTATGCCTTCCAATATTTCGTGTGTTTATGCAATTATGTTTGATCGAACTTTTTTCAGGTACAAAGAATATGTGAAGGAATATCAAGAGAAATATGAGAGTTATCGTTCCTTGAACAAAATCTTGGAGGATTACAGGTATTTGGAGCCATATTAGGTTTCGTTATGGTTTGTTGGTCAAATTCAGTTGCATGACAAACGTATTAAATATGCACAGGGATGAATTCACTAAATATGGGAAGGATCTCGAGACTTATAAAGGAAGGGATATGAAGAGATATCATGAGATCTTGAAGCAGATGAGACTATCATTTCATCAATGTGGAGAGGTACTTAATGCTTGTTCCGCGCGGTGTCCTATTTATGACATAATAAGGGTTAATGGCAGAAAATATCAGTGAAGTTTTGTCTCTAGTTGCAAGGGAAAAGGAAAAAAGAAAAAGAAGTTCGTGTATCTATTAAACGACGGGGGGTATTTCTATATATAATACAAACCTCAAATGGACGTTTGTAACGATGGATACATGTAATTTAATAACATTTTTCCTCACAAAAAGGAAAATAATGAATTAATGATCCGAACTAGGTCGGACCGAATGTCAAGGGTGCTAATTTTAACAAATTGTATAATAACATTCTGAAGTTCACACTCTTAGCTTTATGCGCCAAAATCTAAACACCTTCATCAGTTGAGAACTTATAGCTACTATGTTGATGTCTTGATTATGAACTTTCAATCTCAAGTCTTACTATCAATTTGATTACATCTAGACTAACACCTAGCCTTTTGCAGAAACATAAACGGCAAAAGAAAATATTTATCGTGCTCTATGAAGAACTAAAGGTGGGGCTCACTTGATCTTTATTAGTACCTTTACCGCTTGGTTTTATAAGTCACTCTCAATATCTTTGGTTAACACGATCCATGATAATTTTCCTATACAGCATTTGAAACAGATGATCAAGGATTACACAGTCTCGTATAAATGAGACTGATTGTCATACGATATTTGCCTGCCCGAGTATTGAATTGTTGGTTGTTTCATTGGCTTGAAACCTCACGGGCCCACGAAAGCTGGTGTTGAGTAAGTGAAGGTTTCCCGATGACTGTTCGATTATTTACTGCGGTGCAGAATGAATGGAGATCTGTCAGTTTTGTATGAAGTTGTAAATATTGAGCTGTACAATACTTTTGCATGTTTTCTTAAACTTAAGTTGGCACTCCTTTATCCAGTGCTATCAAATTTTGACGTTTTTTATATAGTTTAGTTGATGGTGGGAGAAGTTTTTTAACAGGAAACCAAGTGCTTCAATTTTTTCTTTATTCTTTAGTCACTGTGAATGTGAGCTGATGCTTCTGTTTTCTGTTGTTACACGGTTAACTAATTAACCTTATCAATAATTTATTGCAAGGGAAATTGGGGATCAAAAGGACCACATTCAGATTTGGCTGTTGTAAGTTTATGTTTGTAAATAAATTTGTGTAGAGATTGAACATTAATATAAGTTTTTTGTTTTGGGAAATTTTTGTAAATGAAAAAGTGAAAAAGGTTTTATTTTTGTGAAGTGTGATAGATTTTGGAACCGCGAATGAATATGAGACAAAAAATATGATGATTAAAATTAATGTGATGTAAAAATATGTAATATTAAAGTGATTGGTAGTTAGAGATATGTGAGTGGAAGAATAGTAATATTTGTTGGAAAATATATGATAATGTTTTGTTTTTATTTTTTCTTGTGTTGGTGTAATGGTAAAGAAATGTAAAATAAGATGACTTTTTTTTTTTTCAATTCATATGTCAATAAGATAAATTTTGACCAAACAGATAAAACTGAAAATTTTTCAATTCACATATCCAACAGAACACATTTTTGTTGCCTAAACAACTCGATGTTACATATTAGTTTATAAATTACTTCAAAATATGTCCATTGTTGTCTATTGAGTATTGAACAACACAGAAGCTAAGAAAACAAATGAGAAATGAAGATGCATAAAAAATATATTTANAAAAGATGAAACGGTATATAAGTATAACACGCGGCATATTTCCAAAGCCCAAAGAGGAGAGCGGAACTTGGGCCGGACTCTACTTAATAACCGAACCCAAATCCACAAGAGGCCCAAATTTTCCCCAACGGCCAATCATTTCAAGGGTTTTTAGATACTGCAGTAGCGAAAGAGAGATTGTAGTGTAGAATGGGAAGAAGAATACTGAACGATGCATTGAGAACCATCGTCAATGCAGAAAAGAGACGATTCGCTACTGCAGAGCTGAAGCCCATCTCTAATGTCCTCTCATCTTTTCTGCAAATCATGAAATACAGAGGTAGGCGTTTAATTATTTTTTAACTTTTTTTATCTGTAATTTTATCCAGTAAACATGTGCAAGACATCATTTTTTCTGCGCTGTGAACTATTTTCAATTGACGATGTTGTATTTATGCAGAGGTTTTAGTGATTTAGGTAGAGAAAAAGCTGTGTGTGATTCTTGGAATCGGACGAGGTTTTGTTTGAAGGTGAAATTGGGAGAAAATGGTGTGAAGATTGAGAGAGAAGAAAAAAAATAAAAAATGAAAAAGAGGCAGAGATAGGGAAATGAACTTGGTATTTTGTAGGTTTCATTGATGTACATTGTTGTAAAGAAACATGATCTTTGATCAATCTTTGCGGTTTTAGTTATGGTCCTTTTTGATAATATTAGAAATTATTATTACTGTTATTATAAATTGAGGTGTTCTACTATCATAATTGAGAACACAAATTCTCACCTCTTTGAGAATATTAGAAAGTATTGTTACTGTTAGTATAAATTGAGGTGTTCTACTATCATAACTGAGAAGACAAATTCTTGTGTGAGGCAGCTTAGCTTAACCATAGACGGGTCGACCTGCCATATTTCTTTTTAACAAAAATGCATACTTATTAGTTTTGAAATATGCATATTTGTTGAAAAAGTGTATTCCCTTTGAGAATGATGAAAAATGACAGGTTATATTAAGGATTTTCAAGTGCACGACCCACAAAGGGTAGGGAGTATCACCGTGCAGCTGATGGGTAGAGTTAATGATTGTCGAGCTATCACTTATCGGCAAGACGTTAAGGCTCAGTATATCGAGAATTACAAGACTCGTGCTCTTCCAACACGTCAGGTTTGATTTCTTTTGATTATGTTTATTCGTGATTGGGATGTTTCTGCTTAACTAGGTTTGTTTGTTTTTTTTTATTTGCTCGTTTGATGTGCTAGCTTTAAAGTTCCATCGAGTTTTGACATTATTGTAATCTAAGCTGAATTTTTAAATGCAATTGAAGTACCTAATCTTATTGTGTACCCATAGTTATGAATTTGCCTGAAGAGGTAGATTTTTTTTTTCTTTTTTGCTAGAATTTCATTAATGAACTGATTTTTGGTTTGATTTTGTCCATTTATACAGTATATATGCCCCATTTTTATGATAACAAAATGGCTGTTTGTGTGTGGGTTGAAAATCTGCAACAGTCCTTAGCAGGCATGTGTATTTACTATTTTCATAGAAATATTGGCTTATCCTATCATGTTAGGAAGGATAATCATAATACCACAAGTTCGGTTTGTTACTTTGAACTTCAATGGATTTTATTGTAATTTTCTCAACCAGATGCTAAAGCTAAAAACAAGATTGTCTAACTTTGAGTTGTGAGCGTTGTTTCTTTGTCATTTCCCCTTTTTTTTCTTCTGCAGTGGGGCTATGTTGTGATCACAACACCGAATGGAGTTCTTGATCATGAAGAAGCTGTTCGACAAAATGTTGGTGGTCAAGTTCTTGGATACTTTTACTGAGACTTTTTCCAATTCTGAAGAGAAGAGGACCAAGTAAAACGGTTCATTTGCATCTTTTGTTTTGTGTATCTTTTTGTGTACCTTTTTGTCTAGTTAGGAAAGATTACAAACAACTCTATTAGTTCATGGAGCTCCGCTCGAATTATGCCTGGGACAAATTTGATGATGATCAAAATGCTGGACATATAGTTTGTTTTTATGAGACTTTTTTTAGCCTTCAAATTTGATGGCGATCAACTGCTTATACGTCGTTTTTATGAGACTTGCTCTATAATAACTACTCTCTTTCCTGTATTTTTTTTCAGTTAATTCACGGTAACTCACATATACTTCGTTTTTATGAGACTTCCTCTATAATAACTACTCCCTTTCCTGTATTTTTTTTAGTTAATTCACGGTAACTCACGATCATCTTGTGTGTTTGGTTTTTGATTTTGTTGTGTTTGGGAAATGAAGATGTTTTGTGTTTTGTTGTCAGGTGAAAGATGAGAATATGTGACTTGTTATTTTAATGTTCATTCATGTTTGGAAATTAATTCAAGTTATACCGAAAAAAAAAAGGAGGATTATGGCCATGTAGGAGAGTAAGTTGTGGACTGCAATTATATGATTAATCATAATCTATTAGGACACCATGGAAATTAATTCAAGTTACACCAAAAAAATAAAATAGTAAAAAAAATAAAAATAAAAAAACACGAAGACCATGTATAAGGGCAAAATTTCATTTTTGATCCTATAATTTGGCCACAGTTCAAAAAACCACTCATATATTGACCACTTTTAATTTAGGTCATATAACTTATCAATTTCATCATTTATGGTCCTATTTTATCCGGCAGCGGGATAAAAATTTGACGTGGCATTTTTTTATCCGATGTGGCATGATTGTGGTTTTACGTGGCAGGATACGAGAAGGCGCGAAATGAATCAGATATACCCTCCCAAATGTGCAACTTAATCGACATAATCGATCCCAATTTCTCAAAACCCTAAAACTGTCTTCTCCTCTCTACTCTTAATTTCTCCGACTGCAATTTCTCAACTTCCACTCAAGAAAATCTTCAAATCTCAACTCCCGAAATTCCACAAAATCGAAATTGCTTGAAATGGTGAGGAAAAAATCTAAATCGGCGACGGAGACCTCTCAGTCTCAACCACTGAAACAACAATCGAAATCGGCGAAATCGGCGATGGAGACCTCTCAGTATCAACCAGTGAAGCAACAATCGAAATCGGCGATGGAGAAAACATCTCAGTCTCAACCAGTGAATCATCAATCGAAATCGGCGATGGAGAAAACATCTCAGTTTGATGTAGACAATCTCAGTTTGATCGAGAAAGTTGCTCTAGGAGTTAAAGTCCCAAACTGCGAGATGAAATTGCTGCGAAAAGAGCTTGATTACCTTCCCCCTCCTAGATATGGTTAGTATAATTGTTGAAACTTGGGTTTTTAAAAATTAGGGTTTATAATTTTTGAAATTAGGTTTATAATTTCTGAAATTAGGGTTTTTTTAGACTTTGTTTATTGTATTTTGTTTATTGTACTTTCTGAAATTAAGGTTTACATTTATGTTGCTAATCAACAAAAATTGCTTTTTGGTTTGTAGGAATCGAAAGTGAGTTTTTCACATTTGGTCTACATTATGGAGGTGAATTTGACCAAGGTCACAATTATGCAGCATATCTAGGAGGTTCTTCAATTATTTTTGATTTTGTTGACCATACAAAGGTATGTCTTGATGATTTCAGAAAGCTTGCTGAAGGAAAAGGTGTAAAAAAACCTTTCAGACTGTATCAAAATAAGAGACATATATTTGTGTTAGTAAGCTCTCAGCGATTTAGGAAAAATTTGGGAAGATAATAGAAAGTTTAGAGAAGTAAACTTGTATGTTGATGAGATGAGAGAAATGCAAAAGGAACAGGAAGTGGGTGATAAATGTGAGGTTGAGGATGACCTGAGTGAGGGAAGTAAGGGAGATGGTGGTGCTGTGAGCTTGGGTGAGGGAGTTAAGGGAGATGGGTATGATGTTTGCCACAACTTCAAGATAGGTATGATGTTTGCCACAAAATCTGAGCTTAGGACAACTATACATTCAAGTGCCATTAAGGCAAAAAGAACTATGGTAAATTGCAAAAATGTGAAACAGTACCTTAGAGCTAAGTGTGGTGATAGTAACTGTTCATGGAAGATTAGTGCAGTTAGGGTGAAAAATGAGCAGACCTTTCAGGTTAGCAAGCATAACCCTAAGCACACTTGTGCAGTGACTGGAAAGGTAAAAAATTTGAAATCCACTTGGTTGGCTGGGAAATATGTTGTTTTTCAAGATGATCCTCAGAGGGCTGTTAAGGGATTTAGAAATCAAGCAGCAAGAGAGCTTAGGGTTCACATTTCTAAACAACAAGCATACATAACCAAAATGCATGCCACTGCTGATAAAAAAGGTGAACCTAAAGAGAAGTATGCATTGTTGTGAGATTATTGTGAGGAGATTAGAAGAACAAATCCTAGTAGTACAGTTGTTTTGGATACAATTTCTGAAACTGGGAAGAGTGTGTTAATAGATTATATATTTACTTGAATGTATTGAAGTGGGGATATAAGGCAGGTTGTAGGAAAGTGTTTGGTGTGGATGGTTGCCATCTGAAAGGTCCCAATAAGGGGATTTTGCTTACTGCTGTTGGGGTTGACCCCAACAATGCACTTTTCCCATTGGCTTATGTTGTTGTTAGTGTTGAAAATTTTGTCAATTGGGAGTGGTTTTTTATTCTTTTGAAAAATGATTTGGAGATTGTCAATCAGCATGAATGGACCATCATTTCAGATAAGCAAAAATGATTGATACAGGCTGCACAAGCTATTTATCCAAATTGTGATCACAGGTTCTGTGTTAGACATTTGATGGGAAATTTCAGAGATGCTGGCTTTAGGGGGATAGCATTTTAGAATGCTGTTTGGAGATGTGCAACAGCCACTACAGTGAATGAGTTCCACAGGAAAATGGGTGCAGTTAGACAATTGAATGAAGATGCTTGGAGTTGGTTGTCTAAAAAACCACCACAAGAGTGGAGTAGGTCACACTTTAGTGTACTTCCTAAGTGTGACATACTTCTTAACAATGCTTGTGAGACATTCAACAGCAATATCCTTGAGGCCAGGGAACAACCAATTCTGTCAATGCTTGAGTGGATAATGGGGTATTTGATGAGGGGATTGCAGCAGAATAGGGATAGATGTGCAAAAAAATGGAACTTTTCATTGTGTCCCAAGATACAGGAAATCATAGATGCTCATATTGATAATTTGGTTGAATGCATCCCCCTCAAATCTAATGAGTATAATTTTCAAGTTGAATGTGTGAATGGTGATCAATTTAAGGTGGATCTAAGGGCACAGAGCTGTGGGTGCAGAAAATGGGAGTTTTCTGGAATCCCTTGTGTTCATGCATTGAGTGCAATTAATCTGCAAGGCTGGAGCATTGAAGATTTTGTAAACCCTTGCTACAAGACAGAGACATACAAGAGGGTGTATGAGCCTGCAATCATGCCTATTAATGGAAGGAAAGAATGGGCAGCAACTGCTTATCCTCCACCTGAGCCACCAAATGTTGGAAGATCAGCAGGAAGGCCAGGAAAGGCTAGGAGAATGGAACCTGATGAGGTTCTTTCTAGTGGGAGAAAGAGGCCAAGGGGTAAGCCTAGGGTTGTGACCAAGGAAAATACAATGAAGAGGCAACAAATGACAATTAAGTGCAGCTTCTGTCAGAGGGAGGGTCACAATAAGAAAGGATGTCTTCTCTTGAAATCTCAAGGTCAACAAAGACCAGAAAAGTTAAAGATTATAGTATAATATAATAAATTGTTGTTTCATGTCTTCATGTATAAGTTGATTCATGTTTTCATTTATATAAAGTTGATTCATATAAGTTTGTTCATTTTTACAGACTAGAAAGAGGGGGAGTGATCCTGTCCCAGCAGTTGGAGTGTCAACACAAGAAAGCACAAGCAAAGTAAGTAGTCATCTTTCAGCTTCGTTTAGTTTCAACTATTAATAGTCATCTTTACAAAATAACACAAACTAACCTTACTTGTTCATGTTTTCAGACTAGAAAGAGGGTGGTTGATCCTGTACCAGCAGTTGGAGTGTCAACTCAACAAAGCACAAGTAATGTAAGTAGTCATCTTTCAGGTTCTTTGACTTTCAACTATTAATAGTCATCTTTACAAACTAACACAACCAAAACTTGCTTGTTAGGTTACAAACCAATCTGTACCTATTGCACCACCTACCTCTGCCCCTGTTTTTCCTGCTACAATAAAGTGGTATAAATCTGCCCTGCAACACAATCTGCACCTGTTGCTCCACCTGCTCCTCAACCTGCTCCTGCTCTACCTGCCCCTGCTCCACCTGCCCCTGTCCCTGCAACACAATGGTTCAAAGCTGCCCCAACTCCTTACCGACAAATGCAGATGGGACATCCCACTAAAGGAGTGGTCATCAGAGGACCAGTACCATTTGTTAGTGGTCATTTCATACCAAGCCAAGAGAGTTGCCTAACTGAGAGAGATTCAATCTTGAAGGAGATATTCAAAGAATGTGGCCAAAAGTACACCTCTATTAGTAGTCTTGTTCCATCTGCTAATCCTAAAAAGAAGGGAAAGAATGTAACCAAATAAGTTGGTTTTGTTTTGAAATTGAATTTGGGTGTTGTTGGTTGATGGTTGGTTTTTGGATATTAACTGGATTAGGGTGTTTTTGTTATTGTCACTGAATGGTTGGTTTTTGTGTGGATGGTTTAGTTGGTTCAGGTTGTGGACAAGTTCTTTTGGTTTGGAATTATATTTGTTATGGAAATGTATGTGAAAAAATTTAGGTTCTGTCAGGTTCTGCTTATGGTTTGATTTTATGGTTATGGAGATGAACTCAAAGTTCAGGTTACTTTTGTTCCAAGTTCTGTTTATGACTTGTTATGGTTTGATTTTATAGGTTCTGCTTATGGACAAATACACCTCTTATTGTTTATAATGTTCTTGTTCTGCAGATGAACTTAAATTGTTCTGTTTAAGATAAACAAAAATAAGATAAACAAAACTAACAAGATTAACAAGACCAACAACTCCATTACAACATAGGTACAAAAGTTTGACACACATAGTGTTCATTCATTCATCAGACAACACAAAGTGTTCACAACACAAACAACCTTGGAAAACATACAACACAAAATGAAGAAAAAAACATACAACCTTGTTGCAGCACATAACAACAATAAAAAACATACAACTTTCACCACATGACAACAATCAAAATAATGAAGAGAAACCATGTTGCAGCAACAAACACAACGAGCTTCCAGATTTTTTGACGAATTTTGGAAAATTCTTCATAGATGTCCTCCACATGCTGAAGTTGGAGTTCAACAATCTCCTTGTTTTTTTTGTTCTCGGCTTCAAGCAATAACATCTTCTTCCTGACCTCAATCATTTCATTGGCCAGAATATAATTGTTCGAGCTCTCGAGAACATCTTCATCCACCTATCTAAAGAACGTACAACCTCCATCCTTCAAATACTTGCAACCGTGAAATTTCTTACCAGGATTTGTTGAAGTCCGTGATCTGCGTATTACAGCTCTCTTGTTACAATCACAAAAAAAATTGGAAGGCGTCGAGAAGGAAGAAGCAGAAGACATCGTTGTTCGCTCTCTCTCTCTCTCTCTCTCTCTCTCTCTCTCTCGGTCGAGCTTCTCTCAATTAGGGTTACAGGGGTCGATTTTGGGGCAAATCGATCGATTTTAAAGAGAGTTATACCTGATGTGGCAATTTCATTTTCCACATGACTGCTCCAATTTTTTATTATCTTAACATGAGGCGCCACATCGGATAAAATAATGCCGCGTCAAATTTTTATCCCGCTGCCGGATAAAATAGGACCATAAATGATGAAATTGACAAGTTATAGGACCTAAATTGAAAGTGATCAATATAGGGGTGATTTTTTGGACTGTGGCCAAGTTATAGGACCAAAAATGAAGTTTTGCCCATGTATAAGTTGGATAGTGCCGAAATAGTATCATTAACGTCATGATTAATTATGAAATATCAAGTCGAAATAGGATAAAAATAAATAAATTAAGATAATCAAAGTCGAAATAGGATAAAAAATACATAAAAATAATATAGCACGATTATGAACAAATAAACAATATACAGAACACACGAAAAGTAAAGTGTAATTTCTCGAAAGAGTATAATTATTGAAAAAAAATAAAGTAAATTTAATCAAAATCACTTCTATTTGTTAAACATGTAAAATATTTGGACACGGCAATTTATTTTAAACACAAGCTATTGATTCGCCAAACACTTTAACGATCCTTTCTAGTCACATACTTAGAAAAGGAAAACAAAAAAACCGTGGGCAAGATATCAACCTCAAGCTTTGAACTAGGAATGTGTACACAATAACGTTGAGCATTATTTGCAGACAAATGCAGTAGGCTAACATAATGATAACAGGGAAAATTTTGCTCCAGCCGAGAAATATCAGCAGTTTAACACCAAAATAAACACTACACAAATTTTCAGATACGATAAACCGAGACTGGCCATGCAACCATCAAGCATATAAACCGAGACTGGATTTCTTGCTTTCTGCATTTGCTAGAGGAAGCAGCAGTTCATAAACATGGGCAAATCACTAATCACCAACCATAATTCTCCAAAAAGACGGTTAGATTAAGCAAGAATATACAAAAACACATGCACATCTGCAAAATAACCAATCTTGGTGTTCATCTAATTTAGAAGCACTCAGAAGCCAATACTGCCCATTTATCTGATCAGCCACAGAGAAACCCATAGATCAGTCCAGTAACATACGAAAACTTTCTCCCCAAAACTCGAAGAACATAACCATTCAATTAGAAAAACCAGGCATAGTTCATCAAAGTAAACTACTTTCTGATCAATCAAATCACACAGTGAACTTCTCAATATATCCCTAGTAGACAGAAGTTCATAGAAAACAACACTGACGAGAGTTCGAACCACAAAAGAAGACTGCACAATCCAAAGTCACAATCATATTCATAAAAACCTCGACTTTATTCACAATAACATACAGAATTCAATTCTAGGCCATTTATAATAACTACAATTAAAAATTCCTGTGCTCCAGCTTCAAAGTAACCTGGCTCGTATACAGAGTCAACAATTTTATCAAGTTTCGGAAAACATCCAGGGTAATACAGCAGCAACAACGCAAAAGAAGAGATAAAGTCAACATTAAACGGATAACCACAATCAGATTATACACAATAATATCCAATATATCGAAAATTCAGACATTAATCCGGTCCACACAATAACGGAAAAATAAGGCACAACACTGAATGAACAGCATTGTAAATGTAATCATACAAACCCAACTATAAAATTACCAATTTTTCAGCCGCGGGCCTTGAGCTCGGCAAGGCGCCTGGATAGATCGTCTTCGTCAGCTTTCTCCCCGCTCTTCACCGACACGGCATGTGCCGCCGGCTGTGGCAGCCCGACCGACACCTCGAGCCCGTAATCATCCGCCACCTGCTGCATGAGACTGTTGACCTCGCCCTCCGGCGTGGAAAGCGAGGTGCTTCCGGCCATAGAGCTCTCCATGAACTCGGCCTGGACCTCCATGTTCACGAACTGCCGCTCGAACTGGTCCATCGTCTCCGACATCCGCTGGAGGTTCCCGGTGGCGAGAGACGACTCGAGGGACTTGACGATGTTCCCCATCGACTTGCTGATGGCCGTCATCTTCGCCTGCGTGTCGAGGCGGGCGACGACGGCGTCGAGCCGGGAGGAGAGGCGGAGGTAGTTCATCTGCTCGCTGCGCTTTCGGATCGCGTTCTCGGCGTAGATCCGTGCGCCGTCCATGTTGCCCTTCTCGATCGCCTTCTTGACCTTGAGCTTCTCCGATTTCTCCTCCTTCTCGCACTTGCGGGCCTGGCGCTGGAGGCTCTTCGAGGTGAATTTCAGGTCCATGATCTGCTGCATCAGCTTCTCGGTGTTACCCATGGCGGATTTCCGATTACAGGGAGAGAAATTTGAATATTTCGAAGATTTTTACGATGGATTTTAGGGAAGATTGCGAGTTTTTGATTTGGGGAAAAATGACTGTTGGCTTGATTTAGGGTTCTTTTTGTTTGAAATTTCTGTGCTTTTGGGAGGTGGGATCTGGTGCAGCAGGTGTAGCGGTCGATATTGTGTGCATCCAATTTATAGGGTTTTATGCTCGGATCGGTCTCTTAAGCTGGCTTCCCATTGACTGTCTACAGTACCGTGTCGCGGTGCGTAGGAGAGAATCGAAGAAAAACGGTGCTTCTTAACGGGTACGTTTTGGGTGGGATTTTTCTTTGTAACGACTACTAACGCGTAACAAAACTTAATAAATAAATAAAAATCAATATGAATGTAATATGATCATCCAAATTTGTAATAAAATACTACATATGCAAGGTCTTGTATTCAGTCATTTTAACCATTACATCACCATTCTCTACTTACAATTATGCATATTTTTATTAAATATATCATATTTTATAGAGCATCATAAAAACAAATATAATAAAGTATGGTAATTTGATAGGATAAACATATATTATTATTCATATAGTATAACGGGTCGACCTGTCTAATAGTTAAATTGTTTCACTAAAAAATTTGTAATTAAATATATATTCTATTCTATTAACTTATACCATTTATCAATTAAAGAAATATATTATTCGTCTATTCATCTCTTTTTTTTTTACTTTGTTTCACTTACATTTTTATTCTGTCAGAAAATTATACCAAAAACATTATTGCTCCAATTTTGATGGATTGATCATCATCAAACTGCTCCATAGCAAAACCGAATCTGCATAATCATAATAGTATTCTTTATCTTGTCTCTCATCCCTCTTCATTGAAATTCATCCGTATCAACAGTTTGGGTAATCCATTTTTGTGTCTGAAATTACATTTCTACAGGAAAGTGTATTATTCATGTCTCCCATTCACTTTTCATTCAAATCCAGTTGTGTTGAGTTGTATTAACAGTTTGTGTAATCCATTTTTGTACCTAAAATTACCTTTATGGACGAAAGCCCGTCGTTCGATATCTCCAAACTTTTCATGAGGCCACCATATTGACATTTGGAGCTTGTCAATTTCTGTAGAATCATCTTCTCTGTTTGACAGCCAGAGATTTCCCCCAAGTACTTCAATAATGAATTTTGTCCATAAATCAAACATGCAACAAGGTCCATCAAATAGCCATATGACTCGGTTCTATTAAATAAGATCGAAAATAAATCACATCATCCAAGCCAAAAACACACCAAGATACCAATCAACTCCAACAACAAACTCAATATAAAAGATAACTCCAAAACACTTTCAGCATTTAGTTGCGGCTATAAGTGCACAAACAGATAATAAGTTCAAGCAAAAAACCATAACTGCTCGACTAATAAGCAGTCTGTCTGTTCCTCTTCTTGACACCAGATTTTGCAACCTTGAGGCTTCTATGAACCCTGCTTAATCGTGCAAGGGCTGCCTTTTTCAGATCAGGCCTGTAACAGTTATCAGCCACCTATACGCAAGAAAGACGGTTGGATTAATAAATCGATAATTAGCATCATTCAAAAAAAAATGTGATGAAAGAAATTGAAAATTGAAACTTCAAACTAATCAAAGGATTAAAATCGAGCATGATGCAGCAGATTTCCTTTTTTATTAGCTTATTATGTACAATACTAATTACATTTCCAAGAGATCACAATACCTGATTAGTAACAGCCTTTGCCATGCGGTTGAACTCCTTTTTCAAGAGAGATTTGTGAAGCAAGCTGGATGGCTTGTTCTGTTTTTTGGTTTTTGTTGTTGCAAACAGTACCGACTGATCCTTACCCGGTTGAATGGTCACTGTTTTCTTGTTGGCCAGCCCTATTTGTAAATTGTAACATCAATCAATCATTGCAATTCATATAAGCAAAATCAGTTTCAAATGAAAAAAAGTGTGTCAAATTTGACAAAAAATTAAGACTTATATTTACAGACTGATGATAATGCAGAAAAGAATACCATGAATCTCATCATTTTCCACATAACTGTACAGTGGTTAAGCTATACACAACAAAGTTGGATCAATGAGCAAAATATTTATTGGAAGATGGTGTGAATGAAAATTTGAATCCCCACATTCCAACAGAATCAAATGAACACGCAGCAAAGTAATAAGGAAAACAAATAACCAAAAAGTTCCAAAGACGGCATGATTAACAACTTAATTGATTTTCAACTTCTACGTTTCCACACACCTCAATCCCCCAAAGAAAAAGGTCAAATTGTACAAAATTTAAGGCTTATATTCACAAAGACTAATATGGATGCACAAAGGAATACCATGAATCTCATACTCTACATAAATGTAGCCTGGTTGTGTGGCTAAAGACGACCAAAGTTGATTCACTGAGCATAATAATTACCGAATGCTGGTGGTGAATGGAAATTTTCATGTCCACATACCAATATAACAAAATAAACACCAGCAAAAAGAGATTAGGAAAATAAACAACCAAAAATGTTTCTAGGACAGCATGAGAGATCAACTTCATTATTTTCGACTTCCACATTTCCACGCACCTCAATCCAAGGAAGAATACACAAAAGATCATCAAGATAAGTTGCTATGTGAAGCCACCAATGCACACAAATCACAAATAAACAAGTAAATAATATTTCGGATCAGAAATCACATTCGTTATTAAAACAATGCCCACACAATTCAGAAAACACTGGAGAAAATTAAAGAAAAAAAGCACAGACCAATCAGAAACAGAGCAGAGAGTGCTTGTGTGAGTTTTACTTTATGCAGAAATAAGAAAAATAAACAACCAAATAAAAAAAGGATTCTACTATTAACAACTTAATTGATTTTCGACTCCAACATTTCCACGCATCTCAATCCCAGGAAGAATTTGTAAAAGGTAACCGTAATACTAGTTACTATGTGAAGCCCAAATCAGTCCAACACCCGTAAATCACTAACAAACAAGTAACACCTCAATCAGATCAGAAATCATATTCCCAGCTCAATCAAGAAAAACACGCACAATTCAGAAAAAAACTGGAGAAAATTAAAGGAAGAAAAAAAAGGCAAACTGAAGCAAACCAGAATGCTTGTACGAGTGCAGGTTGCAGAGATTGTTGGGCTCCTTGCTGAACTTAACGCTGGCAGTCCCATTTCCAAACTGCTTCACCAAAAAGGAATTGTTCTTCCTAACAATCTCCCATATCAGCTGCCCAGGAACAGTCGCCATTTCTTACACGGACAAAAATCCTGAAACCACGAATATGATAAGAAAAACAATGCAGAACAAGGAGGAATCATGCGAGAATACGTAAATGGATTATAGGAATATAAGGCTTTACCTTAGAAGAAAATGGGGATTTAGGGTTTTGCTCTGCGGCTTGAAGAGTGGAAAATAGATCTGAAGATGGAGGTGCCAAATAAAGTCGAAGTGAAGTTAAACCCTAAAAGTTGTTCAATGACAATAGTACCCTTCATGTAAGTTTTGGGTCATTGGTTTGACTTTATTAGGCCCGCGAGAGTCCACCCCCCCTTTAGCCGCCAATTTCATTGCAAATGTTTTGTTTTGGGCAATTTATATTTAAATAAGTCGGGAGTTANCAGCAACCTACAAAGTACAAACCACCAAAACAAAAGACAATCAAAGAAAAACCTCAAAACAAAACCACATCCAAACTTGCAAAAATCATAAATCCCATTATTCTGAGGAAAAAAAAAAGTCTGCAAAAAGTACAACCCCAACTCTCAACCTCATAACAATAGCTTAAACAAGTCTACAGTATATACACAAAACATGCCAATGCCGAACGGGCCCTTAGTCCTTAGAAAGCCCGCAACAGTTTTACACAGTACACATCACTCACTACAAAAGATTTCTACTTTTTACCATCATTTCATGTATTTGAAATTTTCCGAGAATTAAAAAGACTCGTTTTTTGGTCGCGTGGGCCAAACCGAACCACTGATAGCTGCATTTATCCTACTGAAAACCACTTTCAATGGTACGCAAGCTACGGCTGGGGGAACATTGAGCTTCTCCAAAACGGGCTTCTGCTCGTGCTCATCATGGCCCATTAACGAGGACAGCTTCCTAGTTTTCTTGGACAGAAGCCCGTTTATGGGCCCGTTTCTATTCGGTCTCCACTTAGATTTGTTCTTATGTGGCCATTCGTGCAGCAAATTGTCGCAAAGCCCGTCAGCCAAGGCCTCGACCGAGATTGGATGGCCTGTCACGGCCCGCCCGTTGAGTCTGCTCATGAGCGAAATATACGGGACGTGTTGGGTCCGGGTGCACCCATTCTGAACCTCCACTTTCACGTTGTAAAGGGATTGCTGCACGATCTTCTTTGGGCCAAATGGGCCGTACTTCGGGTCGGCCCGTAATTCACGGGCGGGGCCCACCGTGGCTGCCTCCTCTGGCTGCTGCTCGCCGTTGACTTCAGTTTTTCTCGTCCGGGAGTTGCGCTTGCCCTTCAACTGCCAGTCGGAGGCAGTGGAGGCTAAAAAGAAAAAGAATAAAATAAAAATAAACAAATAACTTTCCAACACTGTACTGAAATTTATATTTGCTTAACATATAGATTAACTAGAGGTAGTAATGCTAAATAAACCTCAGGTAGCTTTATGTAATTAAACCGTAGTTAATCGATGTGGTGTAATGAGAGTCCTTAGGTGATACTTCATAATGATCTAAAGCAGAAGAAGCTAAGACAATGTCACGGTATCTGACTTTACAGTAAATGGCAAAGATCGGGATTTGAAGAAGAACCAGAAAGAGAAAAAGGTTTACGGTTAAATTCTATCATTATTCGTGTGTGCTTGATCAACATCAACTGAAAGAGTACGTCAAAAATATAAATGGTGAACTAAGAAAAGGTATGTAGTAATAAGTAATAACTAAAAAACCACATGGCTAAGTCGATTACATAAATTTCCCCTAATAAAGCATAGAAGTTTTAGTTGTCTTTCTGAATTACAAATAATCAATCCCCTTAAGAACTGTATTGGCTTAACCATTCGTTTTTCTGAAGTTTGTTAATAAGGAACAGATGTGAAGTGACAGAAAATGAAGGGACAAACATTTGCGAAAAATTCATGATATCTATCACGTGTATTTTGTATGCCTCACTGAACTAGAGATTCCCTGTTGAAACTCCCATGACTACAATGCAAACCAGAATCGAAACACACCTGCAGATTGCTGCTTTTCTTCAGTAACTAAAGGCACATCAAACAAACCCCCACAGACCACACTCGAAATCTCGTTTTCCTTCGCCTTAGAAGAACCATCTCCATTATTCCTGGACAAACTCCCGTTTTCACACGAGACTTCTCCAATGGCCGTGCCATCCGAGTTATTATTATTGTTCATCTTATTAAAGGACACTTTCGACAGCTGTTCGCACAAGACAGGCACACAGACCATCGGCGTACACTCCAATACTTTCGATAGAGTCCTACGCCTGTTCTTCTTTCTCAAGAACTCGTGTGTGGGGCCCACTCGAGGCCTCTTCTTCTTTCCTGGGCCCATGCCTAAGTCCTCCAGCCCCCTCATACGCTTTTTCCCCCCTTCAAACCCTTCATCCTCCGAGTTGTTTGGGTTCCTTCTCGATTTACACTCTTCCTTAATTTTTTCGTCCAAACACTTTTTTGGCTCCTCGAACGAGACTCCGGATTGGGACAATTCAGGAGCTGAGTTGGATTCATTGTTGTTAAAATCTTCAGGACATTGGTCAATTGGGAAGTCTTTACCAAGACAAGCGCTCTCTAGCTCGAGTGCGTGAATAATGGCGTGCTCTCGTCTGGCATATTTGACGGCCTTTCTAGCAGGATGTGTTGAGGATGCCCTTGCCTTCTCTATGCAGTCATTGTATTCCCCACAGCGGAAAGCTTTCACCCGTTTTGACTTCTCGAGATTGTACCAGTCCCTGAAAGAGAGTTTTTTGCAATAACTCAAATCAATATACTACAGAGCAACAATTTCAAACACCTTCCCTCTTAAAACAGAAAACAGAACGAAATTTTCATATTATCCCATACATTTTCCCCACACATCTCAAACCAAGCAAGAATTCATTAAATTTAACAAGAGTACTGACTCCAACACAAAAAATTGGGCCTCTTATAAAAAAAAATCAAATTTTCCATGACAGTTATGAAGCACTTGTATGATTTCGAGACACAAGTTATCAACATTTCCATGCTCAGAGCTTATAAATAAAATGGAATAAATGAAAAATATTACTCACACGCTAGCATCGTCTCTACCAAGGAGCTTCACAGGAGTCCCTAATCTTGGTGCAGGCAGACAACCCTCGGGAAGTTCGTCCGAGCTAAGAATTCGGCCCGGCCACCACGAACCGTTTCTCCTTCGAACCCAAACCAACCCGCCAACTGACCCATCGATGCCCTTAAAGGGCTCATCACCAGCACTTCCCATTCGAAAAGCTACAAGAAGGATTTTTCAACTGAAACAAGAAAATGGGTAAAATAGAACCACAAAACCAAATGCCTTAGTTTCTGTTTTCTCCACTGGTTTCTTTTCGAGTCAGCATTTAAGAGCACACAGAGCCCTGAAGGAAAAAACGAAACTTGGGCGCATTTCTTCAAACATCTAACGAACTGCGGAAAACAGAAAAAACCCATCAAGAGAAAATAATCAAATACAACCAAATTAAGTTACACAAATTCAAGAGGAATGATTTATGAAGCTCGGATCATCTAAACGAAATATAAAAAATAGAAAGAAAAAAAAAATCAACACAGGTAGAATGAGAGAGCCAGGTACAAGCTAGTGGGACGAATGAACAGATAAAATAGATCTGATAGACAACAATTTCTGCAAAGAAAATTGCCGCTTGCAGTGTTTTCCGCGTGCGGGTGTGTGCGTTTTATCGGAAAAATAAAAATAAATAAGAACACACTAAATTCGTCATCTCGCATGTTCTTGCGGCCCCAAAGAGTCAAAAAAGCGCCGATCTTTTATTTTTCAACGACAGCATTCAAGTGGGTTTGATTTCTGTTACCAACCCATGAGCTTTTCAAGATGCACCGCTAGTGCGAGAAATGGTGGAGAAGCATGCGTGCGTGCGCGAGTGCGTGAAGAGGATGAAGAGACATGGGTCATGGAAGACAGTGTTTGTTCTACCGTTCAAAACAAAATGAAAATGCGAACTCCGTTTAATAGTGAGCTAGGCGAAGCGTGAATTCTGTTATTTTTTTTTTTTCCAAAATTTATATTTGAAATATAATATTTAATTGTAAAAATTGATTAATTACATAGTTATTGATATATATAATTGTGTAGCCATTAGATCATTAGATGTGTCTAACTCCAGTCTTCCCGAACGGTAAGACTGTTATCAAGCAAAACTGATGAGGGTGTAAACGAGTCGAGTCGAGCTTGAGCTCATGTTGCTCTAGCTCGAGCCCTTAACGAGTCGAGCTCGACTCCTTAACTTATCGAGATTATAATCGAGCTCGAGCTCGGCTCGTTAATCAATATTAACGAGCTAAAGTTGAGTTTTAACGAGTCGATTATAGAAAATTATATAAAAACATCTTTTCAAGTCTTAGCAAGTTGAGTCGAACTCGAGCCTTAACGAGCTGAGTCGATCTCACAAGCAATTCGTTTTATTAACAATTCTAAGCAGACCTAACAGTTAGGCAGTATATTTTTCTAATTTGTGTTGTTGTGTATGTTTTATTTGATATTTCTGCGTGTTTTTATGGTATTCTTTGAGCTAATGTGAGCTCGTTTTATAGATTTCCCGATCAATTAGATTGATTTTACTCGTTTACATGTTTTCTCGTCGTTTTAATATTTTGTGTATTTTCTGTCTCTTTTTATATTTTATTTTGTAGAAAAATGTGTTTCAATTATGCTTGACGTCGTCGGAATGTGTTGGAAACTCAAAGGAAAGTTTTTGGTTAGTCGACATGGTCAGAGCAATGAACACAACCTGTACGCGCAACTGTTCCCGCAGCCCAGGCCTCGCGCCCTGTTGCCCAGCAGACCGCGTTGGCGTCGCCCAGTAGACCCCAGGCGTCGCGCACGCGAGTATTATCTTTGTTTAAAAGAATAACAAACCACTCACTTAATCGCTAGACTGTCTCACATAAAAAAATTGTTTCTCGTCATATTGAGTGTGAGTGTATGTTAAAAAAATATTTTTGGATTAGATCTGTAGTTTAAAATTTTGTTATTTTATCTACAGTGGTAGTCGATGAATTATTCTTAAATTTAAAATTTTATTGTATTGAAAAATCTTAAATTAATAATAATATACAAAAGTTCTTATTTTGACTATTACCATCATACCCACTTTAATCTCATTATCATTATATAAGGCATCATACCCACTTTAATCTCATTATCATTATATAAGGGTAGATTTTGAATTCTCATTGTACATAATATAATCGAAGATGTGTAACTTATAATGTTAATAAAGAATAATAATTATACATAACATATCTTGAGAATGATTAAATATAAATGTTAACTAAAATAATAAATTGTAATAAATATCATCTTTTGTATTTTTTTTATTTTCCTTAAGTAGTTGAAATATTTTACCAAAAATAGCTTTGAGTATAAATTTTAACTCTTAACTATACTAGTATTCGATCTTGTGCATTTGCACAGATGTAAATAAAATTAAATATTATAAGTTATATTTATGTATATAATATAAAAATTATAAGTTATATAATTGTATTATATTTCAAACATATAGCATTATAAGTTATTTTTATGTATATAATATTAAAATTATAAATTATATAATAGTTGATCATTGGTTAAAATAAATAGTACACACGATTTGATTGTATACGAATCACTATATTGATTGCATAAAATGCAATAAATATATACTTTTTATAATTTTGAGTTATCATAACCAATTAATTAGCTGAAAAATATTACATTTATTATAACAATTGCTTATGTGATTTTAAGAAATTTTACTATAACATAAAAAAATTAATTTATTAATAAACAACATCTTCATCATATAAAAAAAATATTGATTTTAGTGTAAAATATAATTTTATGTAACTTTCATATATTATTTAGTATAAAATATAATTACTAATTTTAATATTAACTATTATATTATTCAATAAAAAATATAATTATTAATCAATTAACATAAAATATAATGGCTTTTGTCTTAATTAACTCAAAAAATGTAATGAAATATTTTCTTATTAATGAGATTGGGTGTATTAATGCCACATAAATAAAATTTATTAGGTTCTATTTATTAGGTTTTATTAATGATTTGCCACATAGGTAAAATTTATTAAGTAAAATTTATTACTTAGCTAGCAATTATTTATATATATAGATAAATGCAGTTGTTTTACAACACTCCAATATCCAACACTAACCTTAAATTTCACTTCAGGACTAGTCTTAATTGACATTTGGATTTTATTATTTCTTAAAATAATTATAAAATTTTTATTAATTATAATAAAAATATAAATTTTATTTGTAATGAAATTCATATTTTTAAACACCAAATTTTAATAGTAAAGATTATTACAAAATTGTTATTTATACTGATTATCCCTTAACAAGATGTTTTGCTCGGATTAAATTTTTTTTCTGATACCATGATATTTTTCTAGAGTTATGCATTAGCTATTTTTCATTATTCTAAACATATTAAAAGAAATTCATAAATACTTAGAAAGTATCTTAAAACATCATTTTCTAAAGTTAACATATTCGCTTTTTTTTTTTCCTATATACATATTCATTTTTTTAACTATATACATATTATATACTAGATATAAATTTGTTCCAAAAATTATATTTTGGTCTAAAAATAGTGCATTTGAAATTAAACGAGTCAAAATGATTGCAACGTTCATGTAAAACATGTTCTTGGAGAAGTAAAGCATGTTCTTGGAAAAGGTGAAAAATTGTTGCTAGGAAAAATGGAAAAGGTAGAGTCAGATTTTTTAAACATGCGACAAGTATATACACATTAAAACATTAAATTTTTAATTCCAAGTAATAAAAGGTTATTCGGACAATATTCGTGCAATTTGGAAGAATCAGTGGTCCAATATCAGTGATATAGCGAACTATTTTGCTTTTGTTTTTTGTTTCTAAAATAATGAAAAATTCATACATTACTTTTCCTTCTTTATTAATTAACCAAATAAGATTACCAATTTCCCTTTCTCCCCACCTAAAATTCATCCAAACAAGGTAAATTATTTTGCATCCCCTCCACTCACCACTCCCCTAAACCAAACATTTTCTTAGAAATTCATGAGAATCAGCCTAAGACGTTATGTCGCATGCACAAGCAGCACCAAAAATTGACCAAACTTTTAAAAATTAAAACGAGTCTTCTTTCCCACTTCTAAATCCGTCGATGTGTATGCACAAGGAGCACAAGGAATCTCATTAATCCTTATGCATGTAGTCATGGCTACAGGCCGAACAGGCCCACTAAACTAACCGTAGCTTTGCCTGAGCCGATTCAGGTTCAATCGTTTATACAAATTGAAGAGGCGGTTCCGGTTCGGAATCGGAACCTGCAATTCTTTCTTTTTTTTTTTTGGGGGGGAATTTTATTTTTAATTAGTTTTTATTGTTTTTTAATAAACCAAATCAGCCCGAAACCAACGGTTCATGAACCGACCTACAACAGCCGGTCAATTGAACCGGCCCGTATAGATTATCGGGCCGGTTCAGGGCCCTCCAAAAGGACCAAAACGCGGCCCAAAACCGGGAAATGGCCAGGTATATGCATGTCAATGAGACCTTTTGCTACATTGATAGAGTCAGAGTTACCCCTGCAGAAAATGGCTACCAATGCTTGAACAAACACAAAGAAACAGCACACTGAAACAAACTGGCTACATACACCGAAAAACACTAGCAACCATCACCAGCCAAGTTCCTAATTGCACTGGGAATCACAAGTGAAAATATGGACAGAGAAAATCCTAGAAATTAGCAGTCAAAGTTCCAACATTGTACCGAAAACACCGAAATCACAAGTGAAAATATGAACAGAGAAAATCCTAGAAATTAGCAGTTAAAGTTCCAACATTGTACCGAAATAGCAAGTGCAAACCGAGCAAATCCCTGAAAAACCCATCTTTCTCAGACCAAAAACTCCGGCCTCCTCTTATCTTCTCCATTCATCTGAGTAGCCACCTCCATCTCCATCTCCACATCTTCGTTTCCTCGATCCACACCTACCCCAGGCATCAGCCAAGATATCCCTGACCTGCCATACAACATCAGGAAATTGAGGCGCCTTCAGTTTCGCCTCCTCAAAATGGCGAAGAAACTCGACCCATTTCTCTGAATGCACGATGTAATGTGCCATTAACAGCGGCAAGGCCCCTGACCAGTGCTTGCCGGCGAGGTATAGGAACGGGTTCAGGAGAACTGTGAGACCGGTATTTGCCAGGTCCAAGAACTCGATACAGACCACAGCTGAGTTGACTACACCCATAATGTGGAGGAATATGAGGTTGACCATCACCAGTTCCTGGCCATCCCTCGAGTACAGGGCCATCCCAATCGGCACAGTGAAAAACAGTGACTCGACCACCATACCGACAACTACTCCCAGCTTGACTTTCCGAATGTGGTGTGTAAAGGATAGCAGGAGTAAAGTGAAGACGTAGGCCGAAGAGCATGTTACCACTTTGAACAGCTTCAGAGGGTTAATTTCTCCATGGCGAGCAACCCGCGCGAGCTGAAAACAGACCAGAGCAAGGAAAGCGAGTGAAGCCGTGATGCTCCAGAGAAGCCTCCTGCTGATTTCACTACAAACGAACAAACAGAGGAGAAATTAACCAGCTGCAAAATAAAGGCGAAGGCTAAATTCGAACCGCTTCGGTTACCTTCGCTCAGCCGCGGCTAGGGTTTGTGCTGGGACGGGAGGAGGCGGCGGGATTTGTTTGCTCAAAGGATTCAGCGACGGCGGAGGGACAGGAAGGACGTCGGAGTCGGCCGGTGGTTGTTCGAAGCTCGGCAGTAGTCCTTCAGCCGCCGGTGGCAAGTGGTTAGGGTTCTCCACTGCGGAGAGGTTGGAAGCGCTTTGTCCGAGCTGAGGGCCGGCGGCGGCGGTCGGCGGTACGCCGGTGGGGGAGGGTGAACGGAGCATGTTGTTAGCGTCGTGAATGGGTTAACAGTAAGTGGGGTAAATTTCTCTCAAACTTCAGAATGAGAAATCGGTCTGACGATGTGTAGCAACAGATTTTATTTTATACCAAATCCCCTTGGAGATGATGGGTTGCAATAGATCGTTGTTTGGGCTTAAAAATGTAGGGCCAGTGTCTGGGCCGGTGAAAATGGGCCCCTAACAGTAACACCTTGACACTTGACAGTAACGTGACCACATTTTTTTTTTATGCTTTTGTTATTGAGAAACTAGTATGTGGCCTGTGCGATGCACGAGTAAATAATATTAAATAATATGTATAATATGTATTCGTTTAAAATTTTAAGTATCACTTTGAGATTTTTTAAGATTTGAGACTTTTAAGATGATCAAATTTTAAAGGAATACTATGAAATCTTAAGTGTGAATGTGAGATTTAGAGTGAAATTTTGTATAATTTTTTTTCTATTAAATCATAACTAATCTTAAAAAGACCTAACACATCTTGATCTCAAATAAGTTAAATATTTAAGGATATTTTAAGATTTTTTTAATTTTTATATATCAAAGATGAACAACTTTTGTTACCAAAAAATGTGGACACAAATTTGAATTTACATCCCGTCCAAATATCAGATTTATTCTAAAATAAAAATTGCACGTAGTTTTATCCAATTTACTCACTTTTTTTTAAAGAAAAAAATTATTCAATAAGATTGGAAGAATTGGTTAAGAATTATACAACTATTTGTTTCTAAAATTTGTATCCAATTTGTACGGTTTTTAAGTTAATTTGTATTTAGAATTTTTTTATAAATAATTGACACATTTTTTGCATAAGAATCTCCAAATTTATAACCAAAAAATATATGATTTAAATATTAGTAAAAAAAATAAAATATAATACAAAAAAATAGAATTCAAATTTTGTCATAAGAATCTCCAAATTAGTTACCAAAAAAATAGGATTCAGATTTTGTTACTTAAGATTCACATGTATTTTTTTGAACTTTCCATTAATAGTAAGTCAAAACATTATTTTTTAGGTCAACCTTACTATTTTTGTATTTTTCCAACAACCTCTTTATATTATTATAGATTATAGATTATAGATTATAGATTATAGATATAGATTTACCCATATATGATCAACTGGAATTTTAATACGAGATATACACAAATTGCAAAGTTATTAATTAATAAAAATATATATAATTAAAAAACTTATCTAATTACTATGAATTCTTTACATATTAAAAAAAAAAATTATAATAACGGTCCAATAAAAGTCCCAATAGATAATTCCAATGTGTGTCTAACACTAACTAACGCCTTATTAGGCCTGTGGGGTTTCGAATCAAAATTCTTGTGTGCAGCTTATAGTTGAAGAGAGACCAAAATCATCGAAAAGATTGCAGTAAGGCAGCCTTGACAGGTTATTCTCTCTCAACTTCGACTCGTAGTCGTCTGCTATTGTAAAGATTTGATTTTTAGGTTTTTTTTTCCGAGTAGTTGATCCGATTCTTATCTGGAGCTCATAAATTTGTCATGCTTTTGAAAAAGTCTTAAAATATAAAGTTCTCGACTGTTTTTGGACAGATAATTTTGTTATTGTACAGCCTTGCGCGATCAGCTTTATGTAAATTATGAGTTCGTTTTCGTTTCATGTTTTTCTAGAATTTGCTTTAGTGTATTGGCAATAGGTTAGCTGAATGACAAAAATATCTGAGCAGTAAGATGCTGTTAGTTGTGTTTTTATATTGGGTTTTTTCACTGTTCAGAATTTTTGAGGAATCTGTGAGATGTTGTAAAATAAGACATCTTATAGAAAGAGTAGCAGCTTTTGTCAAGAATGGATGGGAGAATTTTTTTTTTCTTTTCCTTTTTTCTTTATAGTTGAGATTTTTTGTTTTTCTGCATTATATGTGATGCATCACAATTTTGATCTGTATCTTGTAGGGTTATTTTATCAGATATGCTATTTCGTACTCGTAGTTTATTTAGTTGTTGCAATCTGCACTGGAGCCTGTACTGTACTACTGGGAAAAGCTGGTTACACATATTTTCTGATTATCCAGCTTATATGTTTGCTCTGAACAGACTATAATCAGGAGCAGGACATGGAAATTGAGGCTTTAGAAGCCATTCTCATGGATGATTTTAAAGGTTTGTTTTCCCCCAATATTTCAATACTTATGAAGTTTCTTGATACACATTAATTGCTATACCTAAACAGTCATCATTTTAATCAATTTTAGTGGATTCATTATATTCCAGAAATTTGTTCTAGTGAGAGCGGCTTAAACACTTCAAACAGATGCTTCCAAATAACTCTGTATCCACAGGTAAACACAAACACACACACAAAAACACACATAATATAATCATATCTCTTATTGCATTGATTTTATTCGTCTTTCCCAAGCAGGATGATGAGGCAGACGAATCTACTGTCCCACCAGGTATTGTAATTTGAGTCCCGGTTGTAGTTATTGCCAAGAGTCTGTATACTGGTGCTTGATGTCTCATTTCTACTGGAATTGAATACTGGTGCTTGATGTCTCATTTCTACTGGAATTGATAGATCCTTTTCGTTTTTTTTTTTTTTTTNTTTTTTTTTTTTTTTTTCTTTCACTCCAGTTCAGTTGGGATTGATATTCTCCCATACAGAAAATTTTCCTGATGAGCCTCCACTTATCTATCTGAAAAGGTGGCTTCTATGTGTGGCATTCATAGCTGTGTTGAATAGACCTTTGTTATGCACCTTACCAATATCATCAGTAGATACCAGTATTTGTTTGTACTAAACAATATGTTTGTGCTAAAGATCTTAACTTTCTGTTCTCAGTTTGAGAAGAATTCCGTTCGGAGATCTTAAAGTTCTGAAAGAAAAGCTTGAAAAAGGGGTAGGGAAAATCTTGAAGTCCCCTGCTGTGACTTCATCAATCTCTCTCTCTCTCTCTCTCTGTGTGTGAATTTTTAAAGTGACATGTCAAACTATTATAATTTTCTTATTATGTTTTACAGGCTGCAGAAAATCTAGGTATGGCAATGGTCTACACGTTGGTGACATCAGCTAAAGAATGGCTTTCTGAAAGATTTTCGCAAGATGCTTGAGATGATGATGCGGAGGAAGATGAGGCCGCAAAAGACGAGGTATTGTTTTCTAGCCTCAATTTACGCTCTTCTCTCTGCAAGTGAGTTGTCATGTGTTAAAAGTGTCGTGTGTTTCTCATCTTCAGGTTATTGTGCCACATGGAGAAGCTGAAACTGTCGAGACATTTTTGGCATGGAGAGAGAGGTTTGAAGCAGAATTAGCACTTCAGAGAGCCAAGTGAGTTTTTCATTTGTTTAATCCTTTTGTTCGTATATAATTTTTATCTTGTGCTAGAACATGGTTGAGAAGCAAAGTGTCACATGGAGGTAGTGTTATGTTTCCCCTCAGAAGTTGAGAACTTTAATTTGGCTACAATGAGTTTTAGCTAAGTTAGTGACAGAATTTTTGTGCAGTTTAATGAATGATAAGATCATATATATATTGATTGTTAGTGCTTAATAGTTTTCATGCACATAAAAATTTAGGCTAATGCCGGATTCAGCACTTGCTGCACCGAAAGAGAAGAAACATACGAGCAGACAATGGTTTGATAGTGGACGCGCTAGCTCGGTACTCTTATCCAAATTAAACTTCACATTTTAGTGTTTTACTTACAATTCCAATGGATTTGAAAAAAAAAAAAATAGTAAATTTTTGAATGGCCTGTTCTTTAATTGTGTTGTGATGGAGAATGATGCGAGTGTAATATCGAAATGTTTACTTATTTGGTCTTATTCATTAATTGCAGAAAAGTGCAACAATAGCTGAGGGTTCCGTTGAAGAGGAGGAAGAAGATATTGATTTTGATGAGGATGACTTTGACGGTATAATTGCGAAACAACCCTCTGAGTTTACCATATTATAAAGAAGATCAATTGTTACCCTTTAGAATTGCAAACACCTCTTAAAATGTCTCTCATCTTACAAATATTGCTCTTATTGGAGGGTTATTTTGTAGTTTAAAAAGATTTTAACAAGAACATGGATCCTCTACGTTTAATAGTGGTGAATTTCTTATGCATATGGGAAGACAAAGAAGCAAGAATAAAATAGCATGTAAAACTATGTTACACATTTTTTTTATTAAAAATTTACACATTGTAAATATAGAGGATCCATTTGCAATTCAACTGCACCTCTTAACATTTTTTCGGTTATAAGATCAATACCACCCACTCTATTTATCTGCCTTCCGGTTGAGTATGTCTTTTGTTGTCTTGACAGACGATGAAGAGGACATGCTTGAGCACTATCTTGCAGAAAAATCGGACACATCTTCACATTCTTCAAAACGAGCCAATTAAGCAAAGCTTTGGATGTGAAGTAATTCAAATATGATGCCCAAATGAGAGAACACATATACATATGGAAGCTGAGTGCACAACCGGATGACAATTGTATCAAAGCTATCCCAATTGAAGTGAACATTATGCGATTACGAAGCCCTTTTCTCGCCGAGTAAATGAGTCTTATCGCCTTTTTGTCGTGAATTATTCGATCTTGTTGTATCATGAAATTTTTGTGTGATTCTATTTATTTGAGGGTATGGAGTGTACTAGTAGCTTTGTTTGATATATTCATAAGAACTCTTAAGATTACTATGACATCTAATTCTTTATCTCAGATGAAATTTTGAAGAGAATTTGAGCAAAGAACAAGAATAGCATTGATTCTGCTGCCTCTATAAATTTGTGAAACATATATGCTTAAAGTGTATGGTAAATTAGTGTAAATTTTTACCACAAAATCAAATCTATTTACTATATAATTAAACAACTCATTCAATTTTTAGTAAGTCTAATAGTGGGTCCCTCAAAAGTGACTTTCCATAAATGGTAAGTATTTTTCACACTTTTTATTTTTTCTGTCTCTAATATTAGGACCCTTAGATGTGGTGTAGTGGGCGATTATTGCTCTTTCTAACTGATATGTTTTTTAGTGTATTTAATTATTTTTAAACAGATAACATGTCTCCGCCAACCATTATCTTTATAATTGTAAATATACAATATTATGCTTGGAATGAGGTGATTGACAATAAAATTCTTAGGCAAAACATGAAATAGCAATTAATAGAATGTAATTTTAATAGTAATGGATAAAGCATAAAATTGAATTAATAAAATTATAAACATTTAGTCTGGAAGAGAGCTATTTGGCATTGAAGTTCGGTTGAATGGAGTTCAATATTATAATGCCAAAACTTATAGTTATTTGTAGGTTGTTTTGATGGGTTGAGTATATATTTACCACTTTCACAATATGATAATACCAAATCCTGTAGTTATTTGTTTTAACTATTAATATTGATGTTGAATTATTTTAAATGGATAATATCAAGTCTCCATCAAACATAATTATAATTATTTACATGGAATTATACTTGTATATTTATACAGTTGAATGCAACATTTTCTACAAAAGATTTAAGTATTTTTTTTATTTTTTTTATTTTTTTTTAAAGCNCAACCGGATTCAAGATACAAAAGACACTGCAACAAGGAAGATTAGTAGTCATAGATACCGGCAAGAACAAGCTTGAATCCAGCATTAGCCCAACACTAGAGTAGTGTAGGAGCACAAAATCTACACACAGCCAAAAAGGTAACCCACAATTGGACAAGTCCCTAGTAGGAATACCACTACAACAACTACTACAAAAAAGACTGAAGCTACAACAGCAAAGATAACAAACAAACCAAGAAGAAAAGGAAACACCAGCACCAGCAGATCCCAGCACTAAGCTACAGAGCATGATATGAATTCATTCCAAGATGAGGAAGCAGATTGCACTACAGTGTATTCACAAAGCCAGATGTCGCACGTGCCGCTTGTTCCCATCACACGAGGAGGCGTGGGCCGAACCCAACCACTGAGCATTTATCCCGAATTGAGGCATCCTACCCCAGACATCAGCCAAGATGTCCCTGACTCGCCATACAACCTCAGGAAATTGAGGCACCTTCGTTTTCGCCTCAATATCCCGAATAACCTTAACCAATTTATCTGAATGCGCGATGTAATTTGCCAGTAACAGCGTCAAGGCCACCCCTGACCCGTGCTTGCCGGCGAGGTATAGGAACGGGTTCAGCAGAAGTGTGAGACTGGTATTCGCCAGGCCGAAGTAGTTGATAGAGACTACGGCTGAGTTGACTACAGCCATGATGTGGACGAAAATGAGGTTGACCGTCACCAGTTCCCGGCCATCCTTCGAGTAGAGGGCCATCCCAATCGGCACAATCGGCACAGTGAAAAACAGCGAGTGGACCACCGTACCAAGAATTACTCCCAGCTTGACTTTCCGAATGTGGTGTGTAAAGGGCAGCAGTAGTAAAATGAAGATGTATGCCGCCACTTTGAACAGCTTCAGAGGGTTAATTTCTCCATGGGGAGCAACCACCGCGAGCTGAAAACAGACCAGAGCAAGGAAAGCGAGTGAAGCCGTGATGCTCCAGAGAAGCCTCCTGCTGATTTCACTACAAACGAACAAACAGAGGAGAAATTAAGCAGCTGGATGAAAATAAAGGCGATGGCGAAATTCGAACTGCTTCGCTTACCTTCGCTCAGCCGCGGCTAGGGTTTGTGCTGCGACGGGAGGAGGCGGAGAGATTTGTTTGGTCGAAGGATTCAGCGGCGGCGGAGGGACAGGAAGGACGTCGGAGTCAGCGGGTGGTTGTTCGAAGCTCGGCAGTGGTCCTTCAGCCGCCGGTGGCAAGTGGTTAGGGTTCTCCACTGCAGAGAGGTTGGAAGCGCTTGGTCCGAGCTGAGGGCCGCCGCCGGCGGTGAGCGGTACACCGGTGGGGGAGGGTGAACGGAGCATGTTGTTAGCGTCGTAAATGGGTTAACAGTAAGGGGGGTAAATTTCTCTCAAACAAAGGATGAGAAATCGGTCTGACGATGGGTAGCAACTGATTTCATTTTATACCAAATCCCTTGGAGACGATGGGTTGCAATAGATCGTTCTTTGGGCTAAAAATGTAGGGCCAATGTCTGGACCGGTGAAAATGGGCCGCTAACAGTAACACCTTGACACTTGATAGTAACGTGACCACATTTATCAACTGGAATTTTCAAAGCCATCCCCAATGAAGTGAACATTATGCGAGTACGAAATTTGCCGAGTAAATGAGTCTTTATCGCATTTTACTGGTGAATTATTCAATCTTTGTTGTATCAATAAACTTTTTATGTAATTCTATTTATTTTAGGGTATAGAGTGTACTAGTAGCTTTTGTTTTAGAGGGTGTTCGTTTATCAATTTTTTCAATTCATACTTAATTTATACTAGTTCAACTTTAACTTACCTTCAATCTCCAATATTATCAAATATCAATATAATTAAATAATGTCAACTAATTATTTGTACACATCACATCAAATTTAATTCACAATTTATTTACCCACATAATTTAACTAACATCACTTCACATCATTTTTTTTTTTCTGTTTTTACATCAAATTAATTTTAATTATTTTATTTTAAATATTATTTTAATATAAACTCAAAATCTCAATAATAATTAATCATACTACATTTTTTCAAAATACTCTTGATTAGCCAAAAGAATTCATTTTAAGCGAATGTATTTGTATCCAAGTACCTTGTGCAATATCTTCATAAGAACTCTTAAGATACTGTGAAATCTAATTCTTTATCTCAGATGAAATTTTGAAGAGAAATTCAGCAAAGAATAAGACTTACTGATTCTGCCTCTTCATAACTTTGTGAAACATACATGCTTACAGTGTATTGGTAAATTATTATAAATATTTACCAAAAATTCAAATATATTTATACAGTTGAATGCAACATTTTCTACAAAAGATTTAAGTATTTTTTTTATTTTTTTTATTTTTTTTTAAAGCATGACAGTTCCATTACGAAATACGTGTTTTTATAGAAAACTATTTCCACTTGTTTCTTCATGTTCCACTACAGTTCTGTATCTTGAAATGTGCACTTCAGTTTGTTACTAAGATTTTAATTTAGAGAAAAGTGCATTTTTCGTCCTGTAAGTTTACCCCTCTGGACAATTTAGTCCTCTTTGAATAGCCATTTTGATTTTCGTCCTCTAACTTTTAAAAAAGGTTGCAAATTCGTCCCCGACTCGCCGGAAACCCGTTAATTGCCCGGAAACACGCACGTGACACGCACGTGATGGAAATTAACGGCTCTTTCGGCCTACGTGGTGCCGGATTTCACACGCGGACATCTTTACTTACACGTGGCGGCCGAAATCAAAAGAAAAAAAAAAAAAATTCCACGTGTATACACACGTGGAATTGGAACGTTGATAAAATGAATACTCCCTACTGTTTGTGAACCATTTCCATCTTCCTTCAACCCTAATTTCCCAAATCTCAAGATCCCCAAATCTTCAAGAACCCTAATTTTGAAAATTGTTGATTTCGTTCTTCAAAAGTGTCGATTTCGTTCACTTTCAACATGTCTGAGTCGTCGCATTATACCGGTTTCTTGGAATGTCGGTGCAGAAAAATGGCTGTTATTCGCACATCATGGACGGCCGACAACCCGGGCAGGAGATTTCATTCTTGCCTCGAGTACAAGGTACGGTGTTCTGTTAACGACGAATTATATGATATTTAGGGTAGAATTGTATGATATTTTTGGTAGAGTTGCTTCTGTGTTTGATAGTGTTCTGATTCTTGCAATGTTGGGTTTTTTCACGGCTGTGTGAAGGGTGTTTGATTGTGTCCTGGCTGTATTATACATTGTTTTAACCTTGTTAATGTACAGAATATGGAGGAAAAAATCAACCTTGTTTTAATTTTTTTTTTTTTTTTTGGTAATGTACAGAATGGAGGCTGTGATTTTTTCTCTTGGGTCGACCCTCCTACCTGTGACCGGCCTGAAAAAATCATGCCTGGGTTAGTGAAGAAGATGAAGGCACTGGAGAGAGCAAATGAAAACTTCAAATTTGAGAATACCAAATTGGAGGAGAAGGTTGAAAAACTGGAGGAGAAAATTGAAAAATTACAGAAAAAGGTTGAAAAATTGCAAGCATTGAACAAGAGGTTGGTTGAAAAGAAAGAAAAAATGGAGATGAAAATGGGGTTTGCATTGGCTATAGCAGCTTTGTTGTGTGTATTTTTGCTATATAAAATTAGGTGAAGGATATAGATTAAGGAAGGTTGTGTAATGTGTTTATTTTCTCTTGTAATCTTCTATGTACTCTTGTATTTTGTGTGTTTCTATGTAATGCACTTGTGGTTTCAATGAAATGAAATTTTCTTTAGTTTGCACTTGTATTTCTTTAGTGTGCAGTTAATAACTACTTGTATTTCTTTAGTGTATCTCTTGTATTTCTTTAGTGTGCACTTGTTCTACTTTTTTAAGGTTAACTACAAATTGTTGGAACATATAAATTAAAAAAAAAAAAAAAGTGCACCCCTTGATATGTGTAAGTATTATCCACCTATTCATCTGTCACAAGAGATTATATATTCATCATTCATCTGTCACAACTTTCTTGTAAGCACAAACAGAGAGAAACAGAGAAGGAGGATAATGGAAGACAACAGCTTGCCCAGCATTTCATTGTCAAAACTCAACTGCACAACTCAACCATTTCATTGTCAACTAAACTCAACTGATATCACTGAACTGATCACAACCATCACAACTCAACACAAACAAATTCAAAAGTAGAACAATAATCATAACTGATCATAACCACAAGTGTTTTACAACCACCAAGCAAAACAAAATTAACACCAAAACAAAATTAAGTTTCAAACAAATCCTGCAAATGTTTTACAACCAAATCAACTAAATTCAGTTTCCTATCAAATCAACTGAAATTCAATTCTTTCTAGAATTTTCTCCCTTCTCCTTTTTGATCTGCTTCAACTTCTGAGATGAGCTACCAAGAGAGAGGTCATTTTGAATCCTTTCAAACATTGCTGGAGTTCCATCTCTTGCATTGATGGCCTCCAACTGCTTACCTCTAAAGTATGAATCATCTCCTAATCCCATTTTCAGTTGTTCAAGGGGTGTCGGTCCCTTTGTCATCTCAGGCTGTGGAGTTGCACAAAACTCTTGTGTCAATTGTGACACAAAGCCTTCATCATCCCAGTCAGTTTCTTCTACAAATGGAGCAGGTGGTGCCATGCTTGGCCATTCTTTCTGTTGAAGAAAAAACACAGTCATGACCACAACATAAATGAATTACAAAGAAAAATAAACAAAGTCAGTAATACCTCTTTCTCTATGGTGGAGGTGGAGCCTTGTTTTTTCTGTTCAAGAAAAGTTATTAATCAGACACATTTGTTAATAATGTAATTAAATGAAATAAAAAGAAAAATGAATAAAGTACCACCTGCTTATCAATGCTTAAACCTTGTTTCTGTTTCTTTGCTTCCCTTTCATTTTCTTTGGCCTTTTTTGCAATAGCCTTAGCTGCTTTCTCCTGTCTTGCAGCATTAGCCCTCTTAATTTGCAACTGCAAAAGTATGGAAACATAAATAAGTCCTCTTAATTTGTAACAATAAATAACAAAACTGAAAAAAATGAAAATTAAAACATATTTTACATAAAAGCTGTATTTTTGCTTACAATTGTCCTGCTTGCTTTAGCTAGTGGGCTCTGATCCTTCTTGGCATCAGAAAGGTTTTTCTTGCCACAAGATCTGGCATTGTGACCCACATTGCCACATTTTCCACATTTCAAACTTGTCTGCTGCCTCTTCATCTTCATTTGAATCTTTGCCTTCATTTTCTGTCTTTTCTCTCCTTTCTCATCAGGATCAATCCTCCTTGCTTTCTTAGGTCTACCTGCACCTCTCCCAAATGTGGGAGGCAAAGGTGGAATGAAATGGGTTTGGTTCCACAGCATCTGACAGTTAATACCTAGGATGGCTGGTTTGTAAACTCTTTTATATGTTTCCACACTGTAGAAGTCATGCACATAATCAACTGGATTGCCCTTTTGAGATACAATTGCACTACATGCATGCTTGCATGGTATCCCACTCAAGTCCCACAACCTACATGTGCAAGTTTTCTTTTCCAAGTCTACCACATACTGACCTCCACCATAACACTCTATTTGATAGTGAGTGTTGTCACTTTTCATAGGCATGCAGTCACCTAACTTTGCCATATTAGCCTCCACTGTCTTAATGATCTTTGGACACACTTTGCCTTTCCATCTCAACTCTGCCCTATCCCTGTTTCTTTGAAGCCTTTTCACTAAGTACATTCTGATCCATTCAAGCATAGTCACTATGGGTTCCTCTCTAGCATCAACAATGCATGCATTAAAACTCTCACACAAGTTATTCAACAATATGTCACACTTTGGTTTTTCCTCAAACTGTGATTTTGACCAATGTGCAGGGTTCTTGTCATTGAACCAGTCAGCAGCTTCTACACATATTTCTCTCATTTGTCTCATTCTAAAATGGAACTCACCCACAGTAGCTGCCTGTGCAGCAGCCCACAAAGCATTTTTAAATGCAGCCCCTCTGTAACCAGCATTTTTAAAGTTATTGTGCAGATGTCTAACACAAAATCTATGTGTTGAGTCAGGAAAAACATTCTGAAAAGCCACAATCAACCCTTTCTGTTTATCACTAATGAAAGTACAATCACTGTCATGCACAATGCCAAGATCATGTTTCAATGCAATCAGAAACCACTCCCAAGTATCCCTAGCTTCTTTACCAACCACAGCATAAGCTAAGGGATATATGTTGTTGTTAGGATCAACACCTACAGCAGTCAGAAGAATACCCTTGTGGGGTCCAGACAAATGACAGCCATCAACTCCTATTATTGGCCTAAGACCACTCCTAAAACCTTCCTTCAGTGCAGCAAAACAAACATAGAATTTGGAGAACCTAGGAACACCATCATCTTCTAAAACATCTAGAATCACAGTTGAACCAGGATTTGTATCCCTCAGTTGTTGGGCATAATCCCACAACTTTTCATACTGTGAATCTGGATTTCCCTCAAGTACCTCTAGAGCTCTCTTCTTAGCCCTATAAGCCTGGTGCCTAGAAATCCCAACCCCCAACTCATGAACCACTTCCCTTCTAAATCCCTTTACTTTTCTTGAGGGATCAGCTTGAAACTTGCTCAAGTACCTCTCAGACAACCACTTACTTTTAATATTCTTAAGATGAAAAGATATAGGGCATGTATGAGTGGGGTTGTAAGTGGTTATCTTGAAGGCTTCCTGGTCAGGAATCTTCAGGGCATGAATTTTCCACTGACACTCCTCTGAATCACATACTGCATGGACCCTAATCTTATCATTTTTTTTCAACTTCACACTTCTTTTGGACTTAATAGCATGTGACTGTACAGCTTTCTTAAACTCTGCTCTAGTACCAAAGACCATTCCTAGTGCAAATGTTGGATCATAGATATTGCTAGGATTAAATACAATTTCTCTCTTTTCAACTGTTTCAGTATCTGAACAAAACTCATCAAAATCAAGTGGAGTTTCAATTAAATCTTCTTCCCCACTATCAGACTCAGATTCAATTTCAGACTCCACAGATTTGTCTACATTGTGATCAAAGTCTGCATCATCCCTCCCACAACTACTTTCTGATCTAAGATCAAAGTCACTGTCTATAGTTTCACTACCCTCATCACCCCCATCACTATCACCCCCATCACTATCACACCCATCATCACCCCTATCAGGTACCTCAGCACCCTTGCCTTCATTTTTTTCACTACCCTTGCCTTCATTTTTTTCACAACCCTCATTATCTGTCTTTTCACTCTCACTTGTTTCACTGCTCTCACTTGTTTCACTGCTCTCTGCTTCACTCTCATTATTTTTCTCCAATTCTACCCAACCACCTTCATCATACTTAGAAGTAGGCACAAATTGACCTTCATCCATTAGATCAATGTGTATGTCCATCAATCTATTAGTATAGAAACATTTAGCCCAGTTACATAAAGTTGCATCATCTTTCAGTAAGTTAAATGTAGCACCCGAGTTGAAATAATACCTTCTATTTCCTACACAACCAAATAGATCACTAAGACAACCCAATGTATCCAGACACAGTTTTGACTTCTCTAACCAGTCAAAAATCATACTAGAACCCCCAAGATAATGGTCAATTGGAGTATGCAAAAATTGACCTCCACACCAAAGTTGGATAGTTATGTGATCTCTACTTTCTATGGAACCAAACCCAAGTCAACCAAACAACAACAAACAGAGAGAAATTAGGGATTTTCAGATAACCACAACAATAAGCAATTGAAGAATGTATAACTGTATTTTGAATGAAATTAGGGGTTTTAACCACATTACAGTCACCGAAATTAGGGTTAGAAAAAAAACCCTAATTTGTCTTCAAAATTAAGGTTTACAAAAAAACCCTAATTTATATTCAGAATCAGGGTTCGCAAACGAACCCTAATTTGTATTTAGAATTAGGGTTTGCAAAAGAACTCTAATTCGTTTTCGAAATTACGGCTTGCAAACAAAATTACGATTTGCAAATAACCCTAATTTCATTTTAATTGTACGAAATACTCCGCGACATTACATTGCACGAATTTTTTCCATAAACAAAGAAAGATAATATCACTGACCGTATGTGGGAGGTCCATTGTGCATACGAATCTTCTTCCGGATGAACACCTTCTCAGGAATCATTTGGATTCTTGCTTCTCAATACTTGATTTTGAGCTTTCGATTTTTTTACCTTCAGAATTTCAGAAAGAATTTGAGAACGATGTAGATGGAGGGATTTTTTCTTCACAGAGAATTTGGGAACGCGATTGTGGGGAGAAGTGAAGTGACTGTTCATGTTCCTGCCTTTCATCTGTTTTTCCCTCCAATTCCACGTGTGTATACACGTGGAAATTTTTTTTTTTTCTTTTGATTTCGGCCGCCACGTGTAAGTAAAGATGTCCGCGTGTGAAATCCGGCACCACGTAGGCCGAAAGAGCCGTTAATTTCCATCACGTGCGTGTCACGTGTGTGTTTCCGGGCAATTAACGGGTTTCCGGCGAGTCGGGGACGAATTTGCAACCTTTTTTAAAAGTTAGAGGACGAAAATCAAAATGGCTATTCGAAGAGGACTAAATTGTCCAGAGGGGTAAACTTACAGGACGAAAAATGAGTTATTTAACGACACAATTAGTCAACGATACCATTCGATTGGAGTCGTGCTACATCAATACATGGACTTCATAAATGACATATATTTAATATAATACACGTGGGATAAGATCTTGTTATTTTTTTAGTCATAAATAATCACTGAACTTGTTATTTTAGCATAATCAGTCCTTGTATTTTACTCTACTATTTCAAATAGTGTCCCAAACTTACATATATGGGCAAACATATCATATTTCCATTTGAATAAACCCAAACTTACATATTTTTAACTACACAAAACGACGGTAAGTCCTATCACATGAAAAGCGTTGCGATTTTCAACAGGGTAAATGGGTAAATAAAGTAATCTGTGTTTTTCTATTTATTATGTATAAGAGTCCTCCCAGAAAATGAAACAGTATTCATCCCCTCGGCCTCAAAAGCAAGCAGTAGCTGCTGCTCTACAGAACCTCGATTAAATTGTCCTTTTTCAGCAGAAAACCAAGAACAGAGAGTGAATTGAATTGTTTATTGGAGGGGGAAGTGCTCAAGAGATCATGACTTTGTCCAAAGCACCTTTTTTGATTTTCATCCTGCCCTTGTTTTTTTTATGCGAGTCTGTTTTTTCGGACCTGCTTTCGTCTCCGAAAGAGCTATCTGAAATCCCCATAAATTTCCTCAATTTTGCGAAGAAAGCTGAAGTCTTTGATTGGATGGTTGGGATTAGAAGAAAAATACACGAGAATCCTGAGCTGGGCTACGAGGAATTTGAGACCAGTAACCTTATTAGGGATGAATTGGACAAGATGGGGATTTCTTACAAGTACCCAGTTGCAGTTACTGGTGTTCTTGGTTTTATAGGATCTGGAAAATCTCCTTTTGTTGCAATAAGGGCAGATATGGATGCCCTTCCTCTAGAGGTATACTTCAATCTGCTTTTTTTTTNCTTTATGACCAATAATTCGTTTTGAGTTCGATGGTAATAATTGACTTTTTTGCCTTCTGGTATAGTAGCACTGCATATGAATCTGCCTGTTTGATGTTTGAGGGTGTTTTTGCCATGTGGGCCCCTTCAGTAGTTTATCTCTGTTGTGATGCTAGAACTGCACATATATAGAGAGTGGGAATTTATGAGATCAAATTGGACCAAAATACAGGCTTTTAGCTGTTTTGTGATGAGAGCGTTTGTTAACTTGTAAGAGAGATGGATGAAGTTATGAAGTTGAGGCCTTATTATTGGTTGCATGTCATTTTTTGTTCTTATGAATTTTAAATACCTTCGATTTTAAATCTAAAGGAAATGGTGGAGTGGGAACACAAGAGTAAAAATCCCGGAAAAATGCACGCTTGTGGGCATGATACTCATGTTGCAATGCTTCTTGGTGCGGCCAAGATATTACAAGAGCATCGTGATCTTATCAAGGTTTGTTTAACTATCATCTCTTTCTGTTATGTTCCATTGGTGTGTAGTATTTTATTTGGTAATAATCGGTGCATTATTTATTGGCAGATGATTTGTCCTCGCGTTAGATATTTAACAGCTGTGCTGGTTTTTTTCTATCTCATTTTCCCTTTTTCGTCTATTGTTTCTTGTTTTTGTGTTTTTGTTACGCGGAGATAGTGAGGATGGTGATTGGTGACTTCCTTTATCTATTGAAATCCTTTTAGCTTGCAAATAAATGGGGGAAAAATATTGTGTTTTCAATTGCCAACTTTTGTTTCGAATTCTGCATGATTTGATCAGAATCCAACTACATTGGAGGGGTGCTTTAAATTTCTAATTTTGATTAACAGTTTGACTATCTCGACATATAGAAAAAACGCATTTATAGCTTATTGGCCAAACATTCTCTTTTTAATTAATTTCAACACTTCACTCCTATGCACCAACATATCTTAGCTTCTACTTACCAACTCCTAGTTTCTTTTCTTCTACTATTAGTAACTTTCTCTCAAAGCCATTTTTTCTGGTTTTCACTCCTCGATTCCTTTATATATTAACAAATGCAGTTAAATCTTCCTAAACTTTACAGGGGACAGTTGTTCTAGTTTTCCAACCTGGAGAGGAAGGATATGGAGGTGCCAAGAAGATGATAGAATCTGGCGTGCTTGAGAATGTGGATGCCATTTTTGGCCTCCACGCGAATTCTTTATTGCCTGTGGGCCAAGTCTCAACTCGGGCCGGGCCCATTATGGCAGGGAGTGGCTTTTTCAAGGCCTTAATAAGGGGAAAAGGAGGCCATGCGGCCATTCCTCAGCACTCGATCGACCCAATATTGGCGGCTTCAAATGTGGTTGTCAGTTTGCAAAATCTAGTTTCTCGGGAAGCTGATCCTCTTGATTCTCAGGTATTTTGTTTTTCCTTTTTTTATCAGAATTTTTTGGTGGCTTAAATCTTAGTATGCATGATTTGTTAACAATTTTAGTAGGCATTCTTGCATAAATCGTTGATTCTTGATCAACTGAAAATATCAAAATTTATTTTATCTTTTTTTTTTTCTTTTCCTTTTTCATTATTTTAACTCAAGATTAATCTGAACAGGTAGTTACTGTTGGTAAATTCCAAGGAGGTGGCGCGTTTAATGTTATTCCAGATTCTGTTACCATTGGTGGCACTTTCCGGGCCTTTTCAAGTGAAAGCTTACATCAGCTTAAGCAGCGAATTGAAGAGGTAATTAACATGTTAGAAATGTTGTGTGATTGGTCAAGAATTGTATTCGTGACTTCCGTTGTTTTTCTCGTAATCATCGTTGCATATTATTATTTATTAGACGAATGAACTTCGTATAAACCGCCGCCAAATTTTCCTTGTTGGCCGGGATGATGATGATGATGATGATGATAATAATAATAATAATAATAATAATAATAATAATAATAATAATAATAATAATAATAATAATAATAAGGCAAAATTGCATATAAAGGCACCACATTTAAGGTTTTTGCAATTTAATCACCACCTTTTAGTATTTGCGTTTAAATCACCATCTTTCATATGTTTTGCAGATCGAATCATAAATTTAACTCTTTCTGTTTGTACCAAGTCAGCCACGTAGACGTTTCGTCTATGCCAAGTCAGCTCCAATTAAATTTATTCTTCGATCTGCAAAACATATGAAAGATGGTGATTTTAAATGCAAATAGCAAAAGGTGGTGATTAATTTGCAAAAAGTCTTAAAGGTGGTGCCTTTATATGCAATTTCGCCTAATAATAATAATATTAATGTAACAGATTACAAGTCTATGTCATTCACAGGTAATCGTAGGGCAAGCTGCCGTGCAAAGGTGCAATGCAACTGTGACTTTCGAATCCAAAGACCAGATATTTTACCCGCCAACCGTGAACAATCTCGAGCTACATAAGCTCTTTCAGAAAGTGGCGAGTGACATGGTGGGTCCCGATAAGATAAAAGACATGCAGCCATTGATGGGGTCCGAAGATTTTTCCTTCTACCTGGAAAAAATTCCCGGTTATTTCTTTTTTCTCGGGATGAAAGATGAAACTCTGGATAAACCTGTGATGGCACATTCACCTCATTTCGTGGTTGATGAAGGTGGGCTGCCTTATGGTGCTGCACTCCATGCATCGTTGGTTGTACAGTACCTTCTCGATGGAGAGAAAAGGAGTACTAGCCCCGTTTATGGTGGCCATCACGATGAATTGTGATATTCCCCAATTTTTTTTATCTATTTTTTTATGCCGGTTATGGTTTTTTTAGTCTCTGTGGATGCTGGCTTTTGATGGGGTTTATTGTCATGTTAAGTTGTCTGCATTTGTGATTTTATAATTTGATTTCTACCTTTCTATTTACTGATAAAAGTTGTGTTTTGATCATTGGAGAATTTAAAGCTGGCTCCTCATGATATCATTGTTTTTTGAGTAGAAGGGTGTATATAAAGATGGGGGTTCTAGTGAAAATAAGAATTGAGTAAATCAAGCATCTATTAAGCTAGATATAATGGATGTAAATTAATTGGAATAGAATGTGCATATAATGTATCAAGAAACATTTTAAATTAGTAACATAGACTTAGAATTTGAATTTTATTTTATTTTTCTTTTACTCCATCAATTGAAATGTCATGCCTATTAATATTACTATAGTACAAAAAATTAACTGACTTTGGTGAACACAACACACCATTGGCAAAAGTCAAAACAGAACCACAATACATTAAATCTCATCAGTACTCTATATCTCATCTACACAATGACATAAAGCCATCATTATTACAACCATATAATAGTCAAAAAACAAAAAAATGATACTCTTAAAGATTAAAAACACAAAATTACCTGGCAATAGCTTGTTAAATCTTTTGTCATTTCTCTCTATCTGTTGTGTAGCAGTCTCACCATAATCATCTATAATAAAAGCTTATATAGCCCAAAAAAAATCAGAAAAAAATGAAAAAAAAAAATAAAAAAATTAAATAACCGAACGGGCCTCAAAACCCGAACAGCTTGACCGAATTCTCCAACAAATAATCCAACGCGCTCGGCGCAAACTTCCTCGCGAACAAGAAACACAGCGTCGTGGGCTGATTATTATACAAGCAACCCGAGCCCCCTTCCAGAATCTTCCGGAAGAAGAACTCCTCATTCACATCCCCCCTCCCAAAAGTCGCCGGGTGGGCCCCACCCCTCGACCAGTCGACCCACGTGAGGCTCCTGTTCGCCAGCTGGCGCGGGGACTCGATCGTCAGCATGGTCGGAAAATAATGCTCGTCAACGTAGCAAGCCGGCCTGCAGAACTGCTCGAACTTCGGGTAATAAACCGAGTCTCGAACGATACTCACGGCCAAATCACGACTGATTTCGAACCATTGAGAGCCTTTTCGCCAGTTGGTGAGGTTGACGAGTGGGGCCATTTTCTCGTTGTATCTGCCTCGACCATTGCCACCTGGCTCGTCGAACGAGCCCATGAAACTGAATCGAGACCTCGAAATGTATCGGTAGATTATGCTGAAGTTTTGGAGGGGAATGCAGGCTTCGGACAAGAGGACGAACCACTCGTTTGAAAAGTCGAGCAGAGCATTCGCGAGGAGGCGCCTCTCGGCATCACACATGCTCATCATGCCCCACTCCGCCACCTTTTCGAAATAAATAAATAAATAAATAAATGCAAAAAATGGTAGCTTACAGAAACAAAAATACAAAAAAAAAAAAAAAAANAAAAAAAAAAAAAAAAAGATAGTAAGTGTGTGTTCAATTGTTTACTGTTATTTTACTTGAACTCGAACAAAATATTTTTAACAAGTTACTACACCAATCGCAGGCTGATATACACAACTTGCATTTGCCACGAGCTTTTTGGAGATCTTATAAAAGATTACCAGCCAATAGAGTTACTAAGGGGAGGCTTTTGTATTACTGTTAACTCTTTTAGTGATGTTTGGTAATAATTTTGACGATTTTGTTGGACAATAACTACAAGATTCACTTAAAGGTCTGCTCACTTTCTCTGTTGGGAAATAAAATCTATTCACTATTTTCTCAAGTGGTAAATCTACTCAGATTACCAAAATCCAACGAAGAAATCACATAAGGTAGCAACATTACTTACTGACAGATACCACGATTTCAAATATGCCTCTGCGAAGGCCTAACTATTTGAAATAAAATGACGAGCTTTCTTTAATTACTAAAGATTATATTAGTAAGACCGTAATCATCAATTTTTTAAGACTTATGTCACAAGTATGCAGTAAAATCATCACATGTCCAAGTGAACGGGAAATTCTGGTTCAACCTATTCGTGGAGCTTTAAAGACCATATAATGCTGACTAACTAAGAATATGATTTAGGTTGGTTTTTAAGATTTATAATGTTGCCTTTTTTTTTTTTCTTCACATAAAATAGCTTCAACAGTTGTATGAATTTATCTGGAAGAAAAAAAAAAGGAAAGTCTTGTTATTCATCAAACCAACATATTATCGACAAAAGCACGAAATCATTGCCCAAAATAAAATTACAATCTCTTCTCCGAGTAACTAACATGCCCCTTGTCAAAATATATTACCAACTTTCAGGACTTACTGGTTTATAATGAATAGCTCATATATGTTCAATAAATAGACAACAACAACAACAACTTAGCCTTTAGTCCCAAGCAAGTCGGGGTAGGCTAGAGATGAAACCCAAGAGAAACACAAAAAGACTCGAACCGAAAGGAAGAGATCGAAAAAAAAAAAAAAAACGAGAGAGAGAGAGAGAGAAAGGAGCAAAAGCATAAAACTGAATGAACAGCAAACAACTTAGATAGTTTTCTTGAGACAGAATTAAATAGATATCAGTAGATATTTCAACTATTAATCCATCTGATATACTGATGAAATTTATTTTGAGCTTTAAAAAAGATCCTGAATTTTGATATACTAATCACATAAACATCAAACATGAAATCAAACGGACATTCATTAAGCAAAAACGGGTGCTCAACGAGCAAATTACCTGGCTCGGAATTTGCCTGCCGTAGAAAACTGATGAAGGCGAAAACCCGGGCTGATAAGAAGGCAAGGAGTGAATATAAATCGAATAAAGATTCTCATTCCCCTTGAAGAACTTCTCCCACAAAGGCGCCAAAGGCAAAGGCCCCCTCGTCAAGAACATGAAAGCAATCTTGGGAGTTCTCTTGAAAGGGTAAGTTTTTATACGGGGCACAAATGAAGCCCGCCAAAAAAGTTCGGTGTCGTTCATATGATGCAATAATTTCGAAGGAGGTCTAATCCAACTTATTAAAGTGTTTGGTTCTTGAGCACAAGGTTCGAATCTAGACTGAATTATGGCGATTTCGCTCGGTACTTTGAGATACCGACTAGCGTAAAAACTGAGAAAGGAAAAAACTATGGCTAATCCCAATAAGAGCAAGAGAAATTGAAGTAATCTTAGAGGGAAAGGCTTGTTTGGTTGGTTTAAGGTTCTAACAATAGGTTGTTTGCATTCTTCGAGGGCACTAAAACTCCCCACTCTTTGTTGCATCTTTAATTCAAGCCCAATTTCAATGCAAATGGCTTTCTTCTTTGCAGAAATCAGTCCTAATTGCAAAAAAACAAAATCAGAAGATGGAGAATTTTTAAGCTTCTCATGACATCAACTTTTTTCCCACAAGAATGAGTAAAATAGGAAAGGGATTTTCTCCTACACTATTCAGAAATGGCCAAAATTTATGACATGAGCTTTCAGGACAGCAAACAGTGAAACCCTTATCTAAAAATCAAATAAAAGAACCAACAAAACAAAAAAAATCAGCCAGATCATGAAATGTTAAAATGAGCTGTTTGCTATTACATTTTAATTACTTACCAAATGAGAAGCACTGGACATGAAACTGCACTTCCGATAAACCTCAGCTTTGTGCAAACAAATCTCAGACCTTTTTTGTAGCTGATTTTTACAGAGACAGTGGGTGAGAAAAAAGTAACGCTATAAAGGAAGGAGAAAAAAAGAAAAAAGCGTAATAATTTCGAGCTTAAACGACAATGGCGAGTGAGATGTTCTGTTTCGTCATTATGTGGGCTCGCAATAAATTTCGCACCAAATGAATGCAGTCAATGAATTCACAAAATGGTAACAACAACAACAACAAGAACAACAACAATTATGAATTCATCCGAATTTGAATTAAAATACAAGAAACGCTTCGAGTTGGGAAAGTGAAACTGATTTTCTTGATTCTAATATGTATTACAAAGGATAAAAAAAAAATGCTTAAAGGCTGCGCCTTAATGGGATTTTCGCACGCCGATTTTATGAAAAAATGTGTTCTTGATGAAGGAATTGAGAGATGTCCGCGAGTTTAGGGGGAGATTGAATGAGCGTGTGGAACAACCTAGGAAATGTTTGACGTGTGTGCGTCGAAATCTCGGGTTTAGGTACAAAGATTGCGTTTGTTTGACTTTTATTAAATTTGTAAATGCTAGTGACAAATATGGTAAGGTGTGTATATGATTCATTTTTGTGAGCTACATAACATAATTAAACGCAATCCAAATTCCTTAACAAATCTCTTTTATTTTTGCGATAATTAGAGTCTTCCAACGAAATGAGCTGCTTGTGAATTCAACAAGGCTTAAATTAAATTCAGCTTGTTAAAGGATTAAGTTCCACTATGTTCGAAAATAATACAATTATTTTATGGCTATGTTTGGTAGATCAATAAACTAGCTTATAGCTTCCTATATTTAAATAAGCTTCGGTTGATAGGACGAACTTTTTTAAAAAACTCGAGCTTATCTCATAAGCTTCTTTGGGTAGCTTTTCAAATATACCCGTTAAATTTTTTATTTAGATAGCTTATCAGTTAATTTTACCAGACACTTTTATCATATAAGCTAGCTTTTCAGCTATAAAAGTCATAAGCTATAAACTATAAGCTCAAAATTTACTGATAAGCTATGAGTTAGCTTATCAGCTATCAACTAGTTTTACCAAACATAGCTTATGTAGTACCCTGTAGTTCGGCTTGTTAAAGCTCGATCTCTGGTTGAGCTCAACTCGTTAATATGGATAAATGAGTTGAGTTAGCGCTCGATTATTGGCTCTGACTCGGCTCGAGCTTGAGTTTGGTTTGGCTCGTTTACACCACTAGTGATAATTTATTAGTTTATGTGGTGCGAACTATTTAAACAATATTCGTCGAAAAAAATATTCCATCATAAGGTCACATAAAAAACCATATTGGTGTGCAAAAGACCTCTATCCGGCTCGCAAGACCTGGATCATGTTCCGACCTGTTCGTAGACCTGCAAAATGGGCCAGGAGGGGTTTCCTGCATTAGCACTCTGACGATAAAGTTAGTTCACAATGATAAATACGATGAACAGTAGATATAAAATACGATGAACAATCGATATAAAGCTCTGTAAGTAGTAAAGTGGGTAAAGAATGTAGAGTGTAAATAAATATACATCACCATTTTATACATGGATGTTATCATGTTGCTCCAGGTGGGTTGTCCAAACTGTCCGAGCTACCCATTCGTACTGCCCTAACTGCTTAATGTAATAATATTTTATATTATTCTATTATTGTGGACCATATAATTAGTTGGACTCAATTGAATTAATAGTCAAACTTAATTAAGGTGAATATGTATTTAATGGAGTAATAATGTTCTAATATTAAAAAGTCCAATTTGTGATGTTTGAGTTGGACAATAAGTTAGGTTAGAACATGGAGAATGTTAGTAGGATTATGATTGTAGGTCTCCTCCTATATATATTACTACATGCTCCTCTCTCTCGGCTCATACGAAAATAGAGTTCTCAACATCAAGGGCTTTGTGAAAAGACGAGAGACGCGGGAGAGAGAAACAATTCATAGGCAAAGACAAATCCATGATTGGAGATTACGAGGAAGAGATTGCAAATCAACATCTTAGATCAAGAAAACAGGGAAGGACTATAAGTTGGATTCTTGTAAGTTCTATGTGCAATTTAATTTATGCAAAGATCCATATTCTATGAATTGATAGAATTACATGCTTAGGGTTTATTCAATTCCGCCTAATAGTTATGAATATGCCCGTTAAATTGCTTACACTTAACTCTATTAAGTCATGCACGTGTGATTCTTATCTTAATAATATTCTATCTTATCGATTAATTTATTTTATTAGACGGTCTAATCGTGCGACCAACCCGATTCACTCGAGGTAGAGTGTTGTCTATGTTAAGCTCGTAGATTTTGCTCTTCTGGTCGATCCATCGACCAATTTTGTCTTCAGGTCGAGTTTCAACCAGGTCATCCAAGGGCCCTAACTCGGACTGTCTGTGCTTATTTTGACTTGCGACGTTTTCATTGACCTGAGGACCTTTCGATCTGTAACTCATCCGATCTCCGTTTGACATACTGGTTCACCCAGTCCAATCAGCTTGTTTTTCGGGTCAAGTCGACCCAGTATGGTATCACATATCACATATAAATCATTCTATGGTGCAAATACTGTTTAAATATTATCCAACCTATTTTTTTTTTTTTTTATCTAAATGTGTTTATTTTCAAAAATAATGATTTACGAATTACGATAATTGATGAAAAATAACACAAGACAATGTTTTTTCGAAAATATAATATCTTAAATTATGATAAGATAAGTTATGAGCAAGAATGGTAGATAATTTAATATCGTGCATGAATTGTTGTAGATAAATTTTGAAAGTCGATATAGGCAAACTTTGTAAGTACACGTCCATGAAGGTCAATTCTAATACGTAAATTTTTATATGTAAATTGTCAGTGATAAGTAAATTGTCATAGGTAATTATTCATAAAAGATAAATTATAGCATGTAATTTATTAGTGAATTCTGATAGAAGTGTTATGCATGTACATATTTATTAGGTTTTGGAGAAGTTGCATTTTTTTTTTTCTTTTTAAACATGAATTTTGGTGAAAATAAAAAATCAATTACGGGATTGTCTTTGCAAACATTTATCCTAATTGGCCATATGTCAATAAATATAAATATCAAAATAAAAGGATTGTCGGGTAAATACTTTGTCCTTCTAAAAAATATAATATATATATATATCGAGTGTCGTGAAATAAAATTTCAAATTCTAATTTAGATGACACGAGTTCCCATTTTTATATATTTCTTGTTCCACATTTGCAAAATAACGACTCTCTCTAGTTGGAGAAATAAAAAATTCAAGTGTCTAGTTATGTGTCCTACATGCACCTCACAAAATTTATAAGTATTATAATTCAAATAATGTATCCATCTATATTTTATTAATTGAATTTACGGCCCCATTTCTTGATAATATTTGCAAAAATAATATATACGATTATTTTTTAGTCGAACTTTGATTAATTTGTTGATTGTTTTAGTGTTTTGAATATAAGACTTGACTTGCTTGAGACAGTTATAGAGTTTGCCGTGTCTGTGGTATTTTTGGTTCAATTGGATTTATTGTTGTTGTCCAGGTCACATGGATATCATTATACTTCAGACGTTGAATATCTTTTAGAGATATTTATCACGTTTACAATTTTATATATGTATATAATTGTGGTAAAAAAATTAT